ATCCGAGTATGATGTGGCTATCGTACGTCGCAGTTTTTAAAATTAAAAATGATGTCACGAAATTTCGAAACCGATCAAAGAAATCGAAACAGATCAAGCGAAACCGATCAAAGAAATCGAAACAAGTAACTGCGACACAAAACCGATCAAATGATTTTGAAACCGATCAAAGAAATCAAAACAGGTCACTGCGACATGAAACCGATCAAACGATTTTGAAACTGATCAAAGAAATCGAAACACGTCACTGCAACACGAAACCGATCAAAAACAATATTTTGCTACAACAATTCCCCGGCCCAGGGGTTTATTGAAAACTATTTAGTAGTCAAAGAAGTCGGAGATGTGAAATTCGGAAACGGTCGGTCGATAGACGAGTTGCGGGGGGTCCTGGTCTGATTTTGATTGGGACTGTAGTTGTGGCAAGCAAAATTGAGTTGTGGGAAAAATTGAGCTGTGGGAAAATCTCACAACTAGGGGAGAAATCCGGGGATTCCCACTGCCTCACTCCAGCGGAATGAGGCCCACAAGGATTGCCATGATCTGATTGGACAAATCTAAAACGAAAACTTGGAACAATGTTGCACAATTATTGCTCGAGCAAACTCACATATTTATCAGAATACTGAGAAGACCTGTCCGAGTTCTGTCGGAGTACGAAACACTTATTGTCTCCCATTCGTTTTCAGTCTGTGGTGAAATGACCGTTCGGTATGGACGCGTTTTCCTCTCTCTTCTGCATCTGTCCGGGCTTTCAGGTTTCAGCAGAACTGTCTTGTCAAAAAAATAGAGCTTGGTGTCTTCAGTTTTGTTGCAAAGTTTACAACAGCAAGTTTTAACAAAGCGACCGAACCTAGAGTTTTAGGATAGCTTAGAGGATAGAGTATCGCTCTATACAAGGACCAGACTGGCGTTCAGCCGAGAATCCCAATTTCTTCAGCGTTGATTTCTTTCTGAATTTTCATCTGAAAACTCTAATTGTAGTTTCACATTAATAATGGCAGGGCCAGGGTTGTCAAGAACTCCCTCCAAGAGAGTTCTAGCATCAGAGGCGGAATCAACAACAGACAATGTCAGGTTCAGAGTAGAGAGCTCGTATGTCGATGATGACACTGCCAACAACCGATCCACAGAAATGGGAATGTCAGGTTCCGAAGAACAGTCACGAGAGAACAGTCGATCACAGGAGTACAGCAAGTCTCTCGAGTTTACCACCGCTTCTTCCGAGCACTTTGGTTTCAGTAGAAGCCACAAGCGGTCTAGTTCTTACTCTGGGGCATCGAAATGGCGCCAGGAGTCTCAATGGGTGCAAAGGAGCAAATATTCTGTGCTAGCATTTTTAGCTGTGACATGCATCGGTTCTGCCACGGGCATGTATTTCTTGACCAAGGCCTCGGAAACTGCTGGGTTTGCAGAAGAGGTACGTTCGAAAAATACCGGACTGGATTGGAATGGCATGGTGAACGACGTTTTCATTGTTGTCTTGTTTGCTAACAAACTGTTCTTAATCATTTCTGATTTTCAGGTTGAAGACCATGCCAATGAACTGGTTGCAATTTCTCATCAAGAGGCAACCAATATCTTTGAAGCCATTTCAAACTTTGCAGTTATGATCACTTCCTATGCCATTGATACCCAAACTGAATTTCCATTTGTCACCATTCCACATTTTGAACATCGTGGTAATAATCTTCGTTCTATTACTGGTGCCGGGTCTCTGACTTGGAATGCTTTTGTGGAATTACAAGATGTTGATGCCTGGGTAAACTACACTCGTCAACAAGATGGATGGATTCAAGATGGATTAAATTCTCAAGCCAAACGAGACGGGACAGAACCTCTAGTAGCAGACGAGATTCCTTCCAACGTGTATCGACTCGGGCGTGATCCGGAATCCGGTGCCATAGGCACATTCTCCGATACTGACAGTGCCACAAAACTTGTTACTTGGCAAGTCTCACCAGTTCCACAGAATCCCGACATGGTCAACCTAAATTTGTTTTCCACGCCGTTTGCTAATGGAATTGAGAATATAGATGGTCTCAATGTTCTCTCCAAATTCATGAGGGATCCCCGTTACTTGGAGCTGGACGAAGAAACAAACCTAGCACGTCCGCAATCCTTACTTGCCCAACCGGTCTACAAAGATTTTCGAGATGCTGACAACAGAGATTCTTCCATCATTGTCGGGTATCTTGTTGCCTTATTGCCTTGGGATAACTTTTTCAAAAATATTATTCCAGAGACCCACCATACAATGGACTTGGTACTATCCAATGACTGCGGAGAAGTTGCTACCTTGCAAGTTCGGGGGCCCGATGTCGTTGTGGTTTCCAACACGGAGGATACCCACGATCCCGAGTTCGATTCCATGGTGGTTCGTCACACCTTTGGGCAGATACCTGCCAAATGGGCAACCTTCGATAACAAAGATCGTCGAAGGCTCCAAGATGAAGTCCAATCCATCAACTCGTACTGGTGCACCTACGACCTTGCGATTTACCCAACAGAAGATTTTCGAGCCCAGTCCGAGGATGACGAAACCATCTTTTATCCCGTTGGAATTGTGATCATTTTCGTCTTTACAACAGCCGTCTTTTTGCTTCATGATACCTTTATTGCACGACGACAGGCTCGCATCGAGGAATCGGCAGCCAGATCCAATGCCATTGTGCAGTCACTCTTCCCAGCGCAAGTCCGAGAACGTCTTCTAATGGCCGGGAACGAGGACAAGGCTAGTCAACAGATCACTAGGAACGAAGAAAAGACAGCAAACTCTAGTGACCATGCGGAATCTGCTTCGAAAAATGATGGTATTGGTCTTGAAGATGGTGACTTGGTTACAGACAGGCTGTTGCGAACCAAGCCAATTGCCGATTTGTTCCCCCATGCGACTGTCATGTTTGCCGACATTTGCGGCTTCACTGCTTGGAGTAGTGTTCGCGAGCCTACCCAAGTATTTACACTACTGGAACAAATCTACAATTCCTTTGACATTTTGGCACGAAAGCGACGCGTATTCAAGGTCGAAACGATTGGGGATTGCTACGTTGCAGCCGCTGGATTGCCTGGTAAGCTTGATTGCTTGATTGATTCGTTGATTCACAGTCATGACGCAGGACTCACCAAAAGTTTTGTTGCTTTGCAGATCCACGCCCCGACCACGCCGTGGCCATGTGTCGTTTCGCGAATGAATGTCTAATCAAGATGCACTCGGTGGTCAAAAAGCTGGAAGTTCGATTGGGGCCCGACACTGCTGAATTGGGAATGCGTTTTGGTCTTCACAGTGGGCCAGTGACCGCTGGTGTGTTGAGAGGAGAAAAGTCTCGTTTTCAACTATTTGGAGATACTGTAAATACAGCATCGAGAATCGAGACTACTGGGGAAAGAAACCGAGTGCACCTGTCGGAAGACACTGCTCGAATTTTGATTCAATCCGGCAAGGAAAGCTGGGTCGAACGGCGCGATGGAGTAGTTGCCGCCAAGGGGAAGGGAGATATGGTAACCTACTGGCTGACTTTAGCGCAAAGCAAATTGAAGAAGCGCAAGGCCAACAAGAAGGAGGCGACGATCGCCGAGGAGGAGAATGCCAAACCTACATCAAACTCCACCTCGATTGGAGAAAAACCAGCAAGCCTCGAGATTCCAGAGAGAAGCATCTCGTTGGATCAGCATATCACTTACGATGACCGCAAGCAACGTCTGATCGACTGGAATGTGGATGTCTTGACAACTTTCTTGAAAAAGATTCAGGCCATGCGAGCTGAAGAAGAGACTGATGCCTTAGCTGGCAAAAACTTTGAACATGATTCGTGGAGAAATGCCCATGCCGATACAACCGTCTTGGACGAAGTGCGTGAAATCATTGCCTTGCCCCAAAAAGAGCAAGTCTACAAGAGAGATCCACAAAGCTTGCAGATTGGAGAAAAGGCTACGGCAGAGTTGAAGGAATATGTTGGTTTAATCGCATCCATGTACCACGAGAATTCATTCCATAACTTTGAACATGCCAGTCACGTGACACAATCCGTCACAAAGCTACTGACTCGAATTGTGACTGCTGATGACATTGACTACAACGATTATCAATACAAAAAGAAGGGAAAGGAAGCTGATCTTCACCAGCACACATACGGAATCACGTCCGATCCCATTACGCAATTCGCATGTGCTTTCTCGGCTCTGATTCATGATGTCGATCATTCGGGTGTGCCAAATGCCCAATTGATCAAGGAAGAATCCGACGTAGCACTCTTTTACAAGAACAAGTCCGTTGCGGAACAAAACTCTGTGGATCTCGCCTGGAGTCTTTTGATGGAACCCGAGTTTGATGCTTTGAGAGCCTGTATTTACAGGGACAAGGATGAGCTCGATCGATTCCGTCAGTTGGTTGTCAACTCTGTGATGGCGACGGATATTGCCGATCGAGAATTGGGTGCTGCCCGGAAAGCTCGATGGGTCAAAGCCTTTGCCCATTCGGATGAAGAAACTGAGGAAACAAGTAGTGCGTTGCGTGAAGGTCGCATCGATGCTGTGAACCGAAAGGCCACCATTGTGATTGAGCACTTGATTCAAGCCTCAGATGTTAGTCATACGATGCAGCATTGGCACGTATACTCGAAATGGAATGAGAAGTTGTTCCACGAAATGTACGGCGCCTATAAGAGTGGACGTGCTGGCAAGGATCCTACTGAGTTCTGGTACACTGGTGAACTTGGCTTCTTCGACTTTTACATTATACCATTGGCTAAGAAACTGAAAGAATGTGGTGTCTTTGGAGTCGCCAGTGACGAGTACTTGAATTATGCCGTGACAAATCGTGAAGAATGGGAACGAAAGGGATTAGATATGATAGAAAAGTACAAAGCAGCCCACGGAAAGACGGCGATATAGAGAATGCTTTTATGCTTTTAAATTAATCTTAATGCATGAATGAACGAATATGCACCGTATATTGAGTGGAAGTGTTACACTATCTTCCTCTTGCAGCAGTATCTGTGCAGGAAGCAAGACATTGGAAAATGACCCACGCGCACGATACTGCGCACGCCACTGTCCAAGCCGCCCATTTGGGTTGCCACGGTCATTTCCACGAATAACACGCTGGTACTTTGTAGTACTGTATGAACTGTAAGCAATTTGAACGGTTCCCACGCGCTTCCAAAAGATTCGACACCGATCTGACGAGCTAAATCAGGCTTTTTGATGAAAATTGGAAGGCATTCGCATTGTCATTTCCCACATTGTCGTGATCAACTGCTGAGACTTTAGCCGTATAGCTTCAGCGTTGGACTATTGTTGTGAATTGTTGATTAGAATACTCGATTGTATCCATCTACAGTTTGAATTTTGGCTTTCAAAGACTTTTAAGCGACAAAATTACATTCGGAAAACTTCAGGAGAAACCATCAGAGTTACCTGAGACTTCATTTCCCCTATTTTACTGCTCGTTTCGAACTACTACACTCCCCTAACGCAAAAACATGGACGCCTTGATGGAACAATCCTCTATTCTGCTGGTTGTCGCTGGCGTGGCTGTTGCTTTGATTGCTCAGTCACTCTTTTCAACTCCTGCCAAACAATTGGACGACACTCCCACAACATCTCAAGCCAAGTCTTCCACGCAAGCAAACGCTGCCAAGAAGAAGAAGAAAAAGGCTAAAAAGAAGGCTGCCCCAAAGAAAGCGCCAGAACCTGAGCCAGAACCTGAACCCGAGCCTGAACCCGAGCCTGAACAAGCTCCAGCCCCTGCTCCTTCCAAAAAGAAGAAGAAGAAAAAGAAAAAGGCTGCTGCTCCCCCTGCCCCTGCCGCTGAACCAGCTTTGGAACCAGTGCCTGAACCAGCTTCGGAACCAGTGAAGGAAGAGCCCGCTCCAACAGTCACTGATGAAGATGACGAAGAAGACGACGATGAGGATGTTGCTCGTCTGTTGAACTCCACTCAACTGTCCAAGGCTCAAAAGAAGAAGAAAAAGAAAAAGAAGAAAAAGGCTGCAGCTGCTGAAGCCGAATCGAAGAACGAACAAGATGAAGGAAGCTGGGTCGTTGTCAACAAGCATCACAGCAGTAATAACAGTACCAGCAACACTGCCGCTTCTACCAATGATGCCGATGCCAAACGCACTGAGATCATTCAATTCGATGCCAATGACAAGCCCGTCCTCGTCGGACCCAAGGGAGCTACAATCCAGAACATTACCACCACTTCTGGAGCTCGCCTCGATATTGACTTGCCGGTGCTTAAGATCACCGGTACCGAAGCTGCCATTGCCACTGCCAAGGAGATGGTCGATAAGCTTCTTTCGTCACACAAGGCCAAGTCTGCCTATAGCATCACTTTGAGTGGCAAGGATATCAAGTCTTCTGAAGGAATCAAGGCCATCATCGGAAAGGGAGGATCGAACATTAAGCAGATCCAAGCTACCACTGGATGCAAGCTCGATGCCAACATTGATGAAGGCAAGGTTGTCATTACTGGTTCTTCCGAAGAACAAATACAAGAAGCGGCGACCTTGTGTCGTCACACTGTCTTTGGAGAACATCAAGTCGCCATGGACCTCAAGAATAAAGGTAATGTCATGGTCGTCATGGGCCAAGGCTACAAAAAGATTCGAGAGTTCCAAGACGCTTCAGGAGGTGCCAAGTTGGACTTTGTCAAGAACACCACCACCCTGCAGATCTCTGGACCCACCGCTGCCGTCAACAAGGCTCGCGACATGGTCACTGCCTGGCTCAACCACTGCGCTGGAATCACCCTTAATATTCCACAATCTGCTCCCGGATCCTTTGATAAGGTCGGAGCTATTTATGGAAAGGGTGGAGTCACCATCCGCACCATTCAAGACAAGACTGGCGCTTTCATCAACGTTGATGACAAGGAAGGCAAGGTCCAAATCTCTGGTGCCCCCGCCGCTGTCCAACAAGGCCTCAAGATGGTCCAACAAGCCATGGAAGATGGCTGCCTCATGGAAGAAGGTGAAATCAAGGATTCCATCATTATCCCCAAGAACGCTGGACCAGCTGTTATTGGCCGAGGTGGTTCCGCCATTAAGCAATTGGAAAAGACTCATTCTGTCAAGGTTCGTGTCAGTGGCCAAACCTGCATTATGATTGGAGATCCTGCTGCCGTCGCTCGTTGTAAGACGGAAGTCACCGAAACCATTCAACCCTTTATTGAAGAAGAACGTATCGCACAAGAAGCCGAACGATTGGCTGCGGAACAAGAAGCTTCCGCAGGTGGTGGTCCATGGAGCGCTAATTTGCAAGATGATGTTGCCGATGGTTGGTAAGGTCCTGTCTGAAACTGATGTTGGAGCTGGTTACTTGTCTTTCGCTTGTATTGTCGATATGCAAGATGAAAGATGAATGCCACTCCTCTTGCCATCTTGTCGCATTGGGTATTTGCATTTGGGTGGCCAGAAGATGACAGACAAGGCACTGTTGAATGCGTGCGTGCATGCAATTGCATTGAAGCTAGAGATACACTCTGAGAAACCAGGTGATGTATCCGATTAATACTTTAAATAAGGACGGAAAACGGAAATAAAAATAAATAACTAATAGAAGCAAAGGAATGACTAGTCCTACAGCATAGGTTGTGCTGTTTTTGTGTTAGTAGTATCACGAACGATCGAAATAGAGTTTTTTCAAGTCTTTTGGCTAGTTGTATTATCAGTTATGGAATAATTCGAACTAGTGGAAAGAATTGCTAATGATGTGTTTTGCATCATTTCGATTATCTTTGAAACAATATTCATCTTTCATCATGGAACTGGTAGTATTTCTCATTTCAAGTTTGTATCTGTTGAAGATGTATTTTGAGATATTTGGAGATTGGAGAATGAGGAGCAGAAACACGAAACGAGGCATTAGAGAATGGGTCATCTTGTGTAAGATTGAACAGTGCCTGACAATAATGTGAGAAGCATTGACAAGATCAAAGCAAGATCATTACATAAGGAGAAGTGAGTTGAATGTAGTCATGGCAAGATACCAGATGCTGTGCATGACTGAGAAGCAAGACTAGAAAATAGAGGAAGGAATAGTTTTGGCTCACAATTGCAAGACAAATAGATTTTACTTCTAGGGAGATTCCAACACGTTTCGAAACGTCAGATCTGAATTCCAAGAGAAGTTTGATTATTAGTAAGAACAATAAGAGAAAGAGGTGTCTTATCGTAAGCTAGAAGAGAGAGCTGAAATCGATAACGACCGAGATATCGCAATTGTCAGGAGAGAGTGAAAGAGAAAATATAAGAGAGAAAAGAACGAAAAAGAGAGCAAGATGAGTGAATACGAAGAGAGAACTCCACGATTCCAATTCAGTGGAGAACCTGAAGACTACGATACCTTTGGATTTAAGTACGTAGCAAGAGCTAGCATCAAAAGATTCGACTGAGTGATCACTGGAGAAGTGACTCTACGAACCAAACCAGAGATGGATGCTGAAACTGACGCAGCAAAGATTAAGGAAGACGAGGAGATCAGCGAGGTGAACATCAAAGCCTTCAGTGACTTGATGATCAGCATGAATACTGACACGGCAGAAGGAAAGGTTGCTTTCAATTTGGTAGCCGGAAGCAGAGACAAAGTCAACTACCCAAAAGGAAACGCGAAAGAAGCATGGGACAAGTTGAAGGATGAGTATGAGCCAAAGACGATCACCTCGTACATCAAGATGAAGAGCAAGCTAAACAAGTGTCACCTTGAGAAGTTTGCTAATCCAGCTTCGTGGATCACCGAACTCAGCAAGATTTGTGTCCGTTTGGAAGAGATGAAGCACCCAGTAAGTGAAGAGGACCAATTCATTCACATCATTGGAAGTTTGCCTTTGAAGTACAGACAAGAGCAAAAGGACTTCGAGAAAATGATGAAAGCGAACACACTCACCATTAAGTACATCAAGGAAGAACTGAATTCTGCACACGAGGACTTCGCCAATGCAACAGAAGGTGATGACGACGACGAAGACAAAGAAGACAAAGATGTCGCTTTGGTAACTGGTCAATTCAAAGGCAACTGCAACAACTGTGGAAAGTATGGACACAAGAAGCTAACTTGCCCTGAACTAACACAAGCGACACGACAAGGAGGCGAAAGGAAGCAGAACAACGGTGGCAGACATCGATACAATGGAGGTGGACGAGGAGCTTTCCTTGGAACCTGTTTCCACTGTGGTATCAGAGGCCACAAGAAGCATGAATGCAGAAGAAACCCAGAGAACCGAAACAACGGCACCACTGGCAACAATGGTAACAACAACAACAGCAACAACAACGATGATGATGACGACGATGTTGCTGAGGTAATGCTGATGGCAACAGAGACACTTATTGCCCCAGCGGAGCCAACACAGAAAAAGAACTTTTGGTTCGAGTGGAATGAAGAATGCGAAGAGAGTGATTGTGAAGATGAAGAAGTAGATGATGAAGTGATCGTGCATACTATCGTGGAAGATCCAAACGACAAAGTTCACGAGCACGGAAATTTCCTTCACGATGATTTCTTTGATAATTTTATGGCGAACTTCGGACAAAATGATTGCGACGCGAAAAACGACGAGACATTCCACGCGACAAAGCCTACAAGTGAATACGCTTTTGTCACAGAAGAGATTGAGATCAAACGCTATTCTGATGTTGACGGATCTGGTACATACAATTCAGATGGGGACGAGATCCCACAATTAGTGGAACGGACGATGAAGGCTAAGCACTACGCATCAGACGAATGGGACCATAATAACAGAATGCCCGAATACAACTCAGACTCAGACGACTCTGACGATGATGACATTCCACCACCTTTGGTCAGCAGACATGGTGTTGTCCATGGACATGATGAGGTATCATTGATTGGCCGACACGACAACATCTCTGATGACGACTTGATATATGACGAGATCCCACAATTGATTGCACGACAACAACATTATAGCGATCATGACGATAGTGATGATGACGATAGCGATGATGACGATGACAACTTGATTCATACCAACGATGAGCCATACTATGACGGTGATGGGGATGATGAGTCAACAGTGCAGACTGAAACAAGCATCCAAGATGAAATCAACTTGACCCGAAACGGAATCGCAATGGCCAACATGGATAAATGGAAATCCGAGGAGATGAAACTGACACCACAGACTTGGTTTGGAGACAGTGCAGCGAGTACACATATGTGCAATGATGACACCAACCTGTACGACTACGATGTTATTCGAGAGGAGATCAAAGTTGGAAGTGGCAAAACTATCGTGGCAACTAAGATTGGCAAGCTCAAGCTGCGAGTGAAGCAAACAAATGGAAAGGTAATCATGATGGTACTAACGAAAGTCAAATTCGTACCTGAGCTGTGGTGCAATCTTTTCAGTCTTACGGCCGCAATGGACAAGGGCTTTGACCTCGGGAATCATCACAGTGACCCATGGATCGACAACTATTGGATTTGACAGAATATTCCCAACAAGTTCTGGATTCATCATGGCAGCAGAAATGGAACAGATGACAACAGAAGGTGCATACGCCGTATTGGAAGCAGGAAGGGAAATCAGCATAGCAAAGTTCCATGAGATGTACGGACACCCAGGAGAAGCAATACTTTGAAATACAGCACATACATACAACTTGAAACTACAATAGAGTGTGAGAACTGTGAATTGGCAAAATCGAGACAAGCAAACATCTCGAAGGAGCCAGTTGACAGATCCGAAGTCCCAGGGGAAGAAGTAATGATTGATATATCCAGTGTAAAGAAGAAGAGCGCGGGTGGAAATAAATTTTGCTCCAAGTGATGGACAACGCATCCGATTTCATATTTTCAATGTTCCTAAAGAAGAAAAGCGAAACAAGTGCTAAGATGATTGTTAGAATAAAGCAAAATGTGCTCTATCGTGAGTGCCTTTAGCGCTCTGAACAAACTCTCTGCAATCTAAATTCGTAATCGACTGTACAACACTTTCACGACAATAGTTCTCCTATGTATAGGTATACTTTGAGTGAAATTGTTCCTATTTGATTAATGTTTGGCTTGAATTGATGATTCAATCACAAAAGTGAGTTCGACGATTTTCCCTTGGAAAATCCTTTGTTTACAGAACTCGATTCGACTTCTACGACAATTCTGTGTTGAATGCAGTACTTTGGGACATCTTGCATTATTCCCTACTGCATCGTACACAACATCAATATTCCACTTGTACAGGATCTTTTCCTTTTTGTGTGGATACAGATTGTCCGACAGACTCAAATTCCGATCGCACGTGTCGAAAACCTCGTACTTGAATAATTTCTTTTGGAACGTAAAAACTCATATTTCGTCATATCCCAACAATGATAGCTTTGGTGAAGGACCTAAATGCGAAAGGATTCAAAGTCAAAAAGATTCGATGTGACAGAGCTGGAGAGAACATGCAGTTCCAAGATTAAGCAAAGAATGAAGGACTTGGTTTGACCTTTGAATTCACAGCGCCCAATACACCACAGCGAAATGGACGAGTTGAAAGGAAGTTCGCAACGGCTTTCGGACGCGTTTGAGCAATGACAAACACTGCTCGGATGACAGAAACGATGCGTGGCAATCTATGGGCAGAAACAGCAGATACAGCAACAAAATTGGACACAGCACTTGTCTATCAACGTGGTGAACAAAAGTCACATCAAAAATTCTGGAAACGAGAAGCTAGATTTGCAAGACATTTGAGAACGTTTAGTGAAATGGCAGTGATCAAGGTACACACAAAGATCAAGGGTAAACTGAAAGACCGTGGAAGAACAGTTATGTTTGTTGGATACGCAGATAACTCCAGCGGAGACACTTACAAATTCTATGATCCAAAGACAAAGCGAATCAGTTCAAGTCGAGATGTGTCATGGTTGAACAAGAGCTACGGAGATTGGAAGGGAATCAAGAAAACCAACACACTACGATTGACACAGGAAATTCTATTGGAAACGGTCCATGACAATGATATTACACAAGCACCAACAACTCACACCAATGACGCAAACATAACAACGCCAGAACCGGGACCGATTCCAACAGCTGCAGCACCAGCAGAGACGGCAACAATACCAGCAGTACAATTGGACTCGGGAGCAAATCCACAACGAGTTACACGATTTGGGCCAACGCAACAACCGGCGACTACAGCACCAATTCCCAGATGGCAGCAAGATTTACGAACATGGGACACGGACCGACATGGGACCCAACCAATACTTCGTACTCGGACCCAAACGAGATTGGCAACTGCAAATTCCAAATCAGGAAGGGAGACAGCAACTCGTGTTCGAACAACAGAAGTGCCAACGGAAGAAGAAGAAGAAATCGACTTCACAGGGGATCAAAGTGGACCACTATTCAATGAAAACGATGTTGCAAACATGATGATGAATCCGGATTTACAGTGGCCAGATCTAGCGCTACAAGTGACAGAAGAAATGATGGAAAATATTGTGGAAAACGAAGAAGCGGAAGACACCAACTACAAAGAACCAAAGAACTTCCAAGAAGCATGGAACCATCCAGACAAATATCGATCGATCAATCGATTGATGGATTGATGGATCGATGGATCGATGGATTGATGGATCGATGGATCGATGGATCGATGGATCGATGGATTGATGGATTGATGGATTGATGGATTGATGGATTGATGGATTGATGGATTGATGGATTGATGGATTGATGGATTGATGGATTGATTGATTGATTGATTGATTGATTGATTGATTGATTGATTGATTGATTGATTGATTGATTGATTGATTGATTGATTGATTGATTGATTGATTGATTGATTGATTGATTGATTGATTGATTGATTGATTGATTGATTGATCGATTGATTGATTGATTGATTGATTGATCGATTGATCGATTGATTGATGGAGTGATGGATTGATGGATTGATGGATTGATGGATTGATGGATTGATGGATTGATTGTTGTATAATATGGTGCACTCGCCCAGCCACTGCGCCTATACTTTCATATACGCGTTGTAGCAGAGGCCCCATCACCGGTGGCACTCTTTCAAGGACCGGCATCGTTCAGGGAATGTTTGCATATACTTTAGTATGTTTACCTTCACGTACACGGTCAACACAAACGACAGCTCCATGGCATGGAAATACTGCAGGACCGGAGAGATGGCTTAATGCCAGAATGCGTTCCGACAAACGGTTTGCGATGCAGTAGTACCAAAAGTTCATATTCATGTTACAGCAGAGGCCCCGTATCCCGGCAACACAAGGAGCGTTGACTTACCTGGAATTGCAGAGCGATACCAACCTGAATCGGCGGTGTTCTTGACTTACCATATATTGCTAAGGTTTGACAGTGCGGAGTCTCTATAATAGAATGGACGAAATAGCTTTGTCAACTTCGTGGTTTGTCCTGTTATCATCACTATACCTGTACGCGAGAATGCTAATGTGAAAATTGGTTTGGTGTCGACTACTGCGACTAAGGAATTTATTGGGGGAATAATCCAACTACAAAATATATGTACAGCTTCTGGGGGACGATTCAAACTCATCCGCGAATTTGGATGGTTTTTCCGTTGAGAGTCCGCGAGATTTTTGACAGCTAAATCTGTCGTCCACAAAATCGTGGTCGGCTTGAGAGCCTCAACAGATGTTTGAATCCCACGAACCGTCTTACTGTAGTACTCGAAAGGTGTGCTGGTGTACTGTACTGTAGGAAATAGTATCTGAGCTAAGTAATAGTAGGTGGTGCAATAGATAGATTTTATTGTAAATTGTGTTGCGTAGAATTATAATAGTTTTTAAAATTCTTATTAGGAAGATAAATTGTTTGTGGCCCAAACCCCAAAACGAACAAGACTCTACTAACACACCTCCGCTTTAGGCACTTGATGACGAGGATTCTTGTTGAAATCTCATTTTGAAGCGTTTTTTCAGAGGAATACCCTTGGCGGAAGACGACGAATTGCTACCGATGCTATCCGAGTCGGAATGGCCATCGGATACGACTGCAGGTCGTTTGCGGGTGGTGGTATTTTCAGATGCCGCTGGAGTCGTGGATGGTGCTTGCGGAACAGCAGCTGTGGGTGGTTGCAAGGGTGGCAACGACTGTTTTTGTGGTTGCTGTTGTTGTTGCAGGTATTCTGGTTGCGGAAGAATGACATTGGCAGCAGATGCCGGAGCCATTGGAGGATGACTTGGAGGATGACTCACATTCACATTCTGACCAGAAGGTGGCTGCTGGTGCTGGTGCTGATGCTGTGGATGTTGATTGACCACCACAGAGCGGGTAAGCGCTGCTTGTTGTGCCAAGAGAGCAGAAAGGAATCTAGCCTCAACAAAGGACATGGGCTGTCCCGGAGCTGGTGAAGGAGGCATCTGTGGAGGTGCCGTAGGCATCAACATTTGCTGCTTGGGCATCATCTTTGGAACGGCGTCTCCTCGTAGTTCAGGAGCACCTTCACGTAGAGCTTGACTGGTCTTTTCTCTAGCCTTGGTGTTACCGACATCCTTCCATTCCTTGTCGTTTGCACGCTTGAGGAACCGTCCTCCCGCTTGACGTACACTGTACACAATGCACTGCGCAATCAGGGGCTTGTCTCTACGTTTGGCAGAAACATAGAGAGGTTGAAAGGCCTTGACCAGTAGGCGGTACTGGACATTGCCTGGATGGTGATTGGTTTCACCACCCCTTCCACAGAGCACATCTGCAGGTTCCACTTTTTGCACCAGATCGGAAGGTGGCAGAAGCGGAGGTCTGTCTTGAGTCTTCTGAAGCCACTTGATTGGATCCGCAAGGATGCAGCCAAAGGTGCTGTTTCCGTTATTGTTAGTATTGCAGTCAACAGTGCTGTTGTTGTTTCTGCTTGGTGGGTGTGATTTTGCCATGGCATGAGCAGCATTAAAAGATGGCTCATCCACAGAAACCACACGAGCAGCAGGCGACACATGAATTGCTCGAGGTGGCGGAGAAGGTATGTGATTGGAAGGCAGAGACCTTCTATTGTGTGAGAGAGACGAGGCTGCTGGAGCCATGGTCTGTGAAGCTGAATTAGCAGCTGAGGCAGATGCAGATGCAGCGTTCACTGGGATTACAGAAGACGCAGCAGAAGCATCTGAGGGATTTCTGCCAAGAATCGCGGGATTGGATTCCTTTTGACGTTCTTCTAAGTGCGCCACAGCGAGAGCGATGCTATCTAAGCCAGACATTTTGAGTTGCTTACTGTGCTTTGAATTGTACCGTATTGTATTGTTCAATGATTCTAGCGATACGAGTGTTAGACATACGATGAAACACAAATGGAAGCCAAGATTGTATTTTTGCAACTGTGGGATTCAAAGCCAATCGATCCCTCAGATCGTTGTTTTGGTTTCCATGAAAGAAAAATTGATCGTAAACTACAAGTACAACAAACTACTACCACGTTAGTTAAAGAACTCAACGTCGTTCAATCGTGTGGTAATCCAAGACAGAAAAGAAGCTGGAGTTTGGAGTGATTTCATTAAGTGGCACGGGAGTTCGAATAAGTGTCTGTCTGGCACCAAATTGTCAAAAATCGATCTCCAAGCCAGCATTGCCCAACCATTCGTCCTCATTGAAACGTGAAACAGTCAAAGATCAAAAGTCCGTGCGTCGTCAAAGCATCGTACGTATCTTCCTCAGCCTTCGCCATTCGTTATCACGACTCGTCGTATCCTAATTGTTCTGAGAGTCGGTCGCATGTTCGGTCGACCCATGAGAATCTGAGAGGTTGCATCTAAGATTCCCGTGGGTGTTGTAGTGGTACCGGTACAGGAACTAGGTACGATTTGAGTATCAAAATAGAAAGACGATGCGCGCGGTACACGTACTGTACTGTATGGTCTAGTATCCAAGTGAGCAACTTGCTTGGAAGAGCTAAATTCAAAGGTAATACACAAACGCATTATAATACCAACGTTAAATACTGTCTTCCATAAGACCCCGATTACTATCCACTCAGCAGCACTCTATGGTGGTGAGATCATTTACTGTATTTCTAGTAGGCAGCTACTACTAGTACTACTCTAGCGAGGTAGTATGAATGACGGTGGTGGCACCACTCACTGAAAGAAGGTGCTCATCCTACTACTGCTGGGCTAGCTATTCAAATCGAACTCCTCATGACGACTCTTCCGTAAGTGCATTTACAAATGCCCGGCGAACAACTCGTTCCACTGTAGCGTCAAGGGTAGGCGAGGAATCCAAGATCCGATTGACATTGACCAAACGATTCAAACTCTTGTCCCCCAAATAATCATAGACAAAATCGGCATATTGTTCCAGATCTTCCACCTTGACAGTTCGGACGTAATCAAAGAGATCCTTTCGTAGCCCTGCTGCCATTTCGGGTGGAGGCAATAGCGAACTAATGGGACGATCCAAGATACTCGATACCAGACGCACATTGGCATTTCCAAAGGATTTCTTATTGCTCGGAGACATGATGAAATCACTAGCCTGCAAGACCGCAACCTTGGTGTAGCTCCGAAGAAAGCCTTGGACTAGTGGACCAAGAGTACGGTCCAAATTTCGCTTGGTTTCGTCGCGGATTTGATTGCGAATGGGACCAATAATGGGCAAATTGGAAATCAGATTGCCAAAGACATCAATCGTCTGAAAGAATTCATAGATACCGTCGTCTAAACGATTGAAAGAAAAGAAAAGAAAAAGAGTGAGGCGAATACGAGACGTATGATAGACTTGACAAGAAATGATCACATCATTATTATTTCCATACGTACATAGAATCTTGGCAAACAAAGTGTTAATTGCATCACTGCTCAAAAAGGCACGGACGGCTTCGTTGTCATATATATCAGCATTGGCAACTGACTTCAGCAAGCGATCACAGGTTTCTTCTCCAAGGAGTTCCTTGGGCGATCGATTTTCATCTTGAATTCGGGATTCAATCTTGGCCCAATTTTTTTCCACCAGCGCTTCACTGTCATCAATCAAAGTTTCATTACACACTAGTTCATCCAATATTTGCAGTGCATCGGCTTTGGGTAACAGCGTTTCCAATGGTTCTTGTTGAAACCAGTCAATGGCCTCTCGTACCGTTGACCTTTGAAGGTTCAATGCAGTGATGGTGAGACTATTAGGATGATGGGTCGTGGTGATGGATGATATCGATCTTGTTGGTCGTGATGTTTCATGGGACAGAAAGGCATTTGCGTTCAAGGATAGAAAGAGAAGAAGGAAGTGGAGAGCGACTTGGAAATGAGAAGGAACCATCATGTTGCTATCTTAGAGGTTGTTTGATGAAGGTACCGTACTGTCCCCTGATTATTATTGGCAGCGGCGATCGATGATGGATCTTATCTTATTTGTCATGTCAGAAGGATACAACTGACGTGGATCTACAATAGTCCTTCGACATTGGGAATTCAGATTTATGATTTGATCTATCCGAACACCAAATGAAACAAGGATTCCCTCTTGCCTTGAAGGTACGATCCGTACGATTGATACCTACAGTATGTTGAGAGGCTTGGAGGCTTCGTCTGCCGTTTCTTCACGAACAATTGTTTTGGCCAATAGTCGCGTCGTACGGTAGGAGTTGGGATCAATCGAATTGGGCCAAGGAACGATGAGACCACTTCAGGAGCGGTCCCATCTTGTCACAAGTCTTACGAAGACTTCTTAGAAACATAACGATACTAGAACAAAGGCATCAGAATGTTTGCAAGAATGCTGTCTTTCTTGCTTGTCGTAGAGCATAGTAGGTACTACTAGTACATCACAGAGGACAAGCAATAAGAATGCTTCAAATGCCACAAAAATTCTGGCGAACCGTGAATACAGTATGCACTTTTGAGACAAGTGGGGCATATCAAACTCGCAACAACTATTGTCAAAGTTCTCATCAAAACTCTCCGCGAGGGCAATGATGTTGTAGTATTATTACAGTTTGTTGACCAGGCTTTTTAATTCGCAATTTCGCCGATGGGGTCATATCTTCTGACATTTGACATGGTACAATAGCTGCTATATACCGGTACATCTATTGATTTGTCAGAGGAGTTTGGTTGTTCGATGTGCGATGTTTGTTCATACCTATATCTATCCTCGATCACATTCCAGCGGGACATTTTGCACAGTGGCAAATGGATTCCATGACAACGTGTAAAAAATTCAAAGATATATGCCTTTTTGCGACCGATTGTGTTGTGATGGGTGACAAAGAAACAATTGAATGGAAACACGCCAAATACGGCGACCAAAGGAATTTCTGTTTCTAAAAGAAACCATATATTTTTAATGGAGTGCGAACACTATTTTTGGGATAGTCCCTTCCGTTTGCAACATTCCTCACAATTTATCAGCAGCGTAAATTACTTTGCAAAGCCGTCGGCAATCACAGTCTCCACAATGCCTCCATTGGAACAAAACTTCGTCGACTTGGAAGTCGGCAGCAACCAATCAAGTGTCTTCTCCCGCTGTGGATTTGCTGGCTTCTTCTCCTCACCCCGACCCAAGACGAAGAAGTCAGCATCCATTGTCTCTTCAGCCATGTCACAGCTTGAAGCATTCACTTTGTCTGATAGCAATCCGCCAAGCCAGAAGAATGCGAATGGCAAAACCCATCAGAAGGATAAGGCGGTTGTGAAGTTCAGTAGCGGTGTACGAGTACGACTCATACCGTCTCACAAGGAGATTTCCAAGGACCAAAAGCAAAAGGTTTGGTACTCTGCAGCAGAAGCCAGAGCCATTCGCGTCAATACAATCAAAACGGTTGAAAAAATGGCCCAAAACAAATCCTTGGATCCAAATGAGACGACTAGAGGATTGGAGAACATGACGCCGAGTGAACATCAAACCCGACGAATACTTATCCGCCGTACCATTCTCACCGTCTTGAAAGAACAAAGCAAAACCTGCTCTGACCCTGCTGAGACATGGAAAGACGCTGAACACCTTGCGAGGATTTATGGACACGCCTGTCGTCATGCCGTCTCGGAAGCGATATGTCTTGCAGCGATTGATACAAGGGAATCAATTGGTAGCTAACTATACCCTCTCGCTTGCATCACTACCTACCCGTCTCTTCGAGACATTCGAGGCTTGATCTTGTGAAATATGAACAGACATGAACAAAATAATGATCGAAGGCCAACACCCCGATGTACACATAGAACAAAACCAATTTCCTTAAGTCTGACCTCCAAAAGTTTCTAGTTTTGTAGTGATTATTATGCAATCCCACCCTCCGATCGGAACTTTTCGTTATTTTGCACCCACATATCAATTGGAAGCCATACAAAACTTTGACCCCCTCAAAGCTAGTCCTACAATAACAACTTCTGGATAATTTTCCATAGTCGAAGCAGAATGTCACTATGATTATGGCTGTTCATGTCGCAAAGTTTTCGGGCGCTACTATCTTTTCCCTGCTTCCCTGACATGCATAGAATCAGATGTTCGAATGTTCAAGAGATGTACCACAGTTGTACCGCACGAATTTATTTTCACTTTCGGAGAAATTTTGTTCTAAAATGACCACAAACACACGTATTTAGTTCGCAATGAGTATTTTTTGGTTCTAAAGCTACCGTATGTGTTTTGTCCACTGTATGTTTCAAATCGCGCTACTGTATGTATATAACCTTTTTCGGAGGAACTTTCGAAAACTGATAAACTGCAGTGTGGTCGAAGGAACTTTTCATCATAGCTGTTCAGGTTGCCAAGTTTTCGGGGGCTATTATTTCGCCCTCCTTTCCTTATATATACCTGGTACCTGGTACCAGGTACTGTACCAATGAACCATGTGCCAATGGGTACCTGGTACTGTACCGGTACCATGTGCGAAAATTCAACAAAATATCTAACCTGGGGTATTTTACCGGTAGGTCCTATTACACAGTATGAACTGTAAAAATAATATTTAAAAAAAAATCATTTTCGGAGAAAGTTTGCTTTACAAGCGACAATTACACGCGTATGAAGTTCGCAGAAGTAACCCAAAGTTTGGTGGGAACTTTGGGATTGTAAATATGTTGCGGAGCAAATGAACCGATCCATGTTGCTCACAATTTCGAAAATCGAAACTTTCTTTCCGAGACAGACGCATTTCCAACTGCCTACTACATCCAATAGACAATCCTTTCACAATGCCTCCGTTGGAACAACACTTTGCCGATTTGAACATCGACAGCTCAACCACAAGTAACTTCCTCTCCCCAGATCATTGCACATCCGCAATATCTCCAAAAAGGAAGCTACACAATGAGACTCTTCGGTCCAAACAAGTCACATTCCGCGACTCCGTGAAATTTCGCTTGATACCGTCTCAAAGTGAGATCTCCAAGAAACAAAAACAACAGCTCTGGTATTCTCCTTCAGAATCAGCAAGTGTGAGAAGAGAAGCCATCCGGACTGTTAGGAGGATGTCCAATAAGATATCATTGGGCCCAAACGAGACGTCGAGGGGGTTGGAAACCAAGACACCCAAGGAACATAGTGCCCACATCGAGGAAAAAAGGCGCACTATCCGCATTGTCTTGAAAGAACAATGGCGAAGCGCTCCAAACGATAGGGATGATGAGTACATTGCTGCTCTCTATCGTCATAACAGTCGGAAAGCCGTTCGTGAAGCCATCCGACTTGCAGAGATTGACGCGGCAGAAGTGTATGGGGGGTCTAATTCGGCTATCAGGGGCAGTGGAACAAAGTTAATGGTACATCACAATTCGTATGAATCACTCCGTCGCTCCGTCACCCGTGGATCGGATCTCAATTTGGCATCTTCGAAGAATGCTACATTCCAATAATGGCTAGAACCTATTCATTGTCTTTTTGGCACGTTTAGTATGTTTCAAATCCCAACCCATATTTTAGTCCAGAAAAGTCGTCCATTCCTTCCACATTGATTGCAACACCGCTTCGGATCATCGCATTTTTCATAACAGCAGCCTTTGCCATTCCTTCCAAAAGAATCGTTGATGGAGTTTCTTCATGAATTCCAAATCGTCAAACTCTAATTCCTTGCCCATGTCGCAATCTGGATCGAATCCGATGGCAACCAAGTCGCAGGCATACAAATGAATGTCTCGTGCTTTCACTTGGCCATCAAAGATGGACGACAAAAATCCTTCCAATGCCTCAATGGCAGCATGATCTTTTTCATCTAGAGCGATTCTGTTTTGTGATTGTGGCACCACTTGACTGTTACTACGACCTGACTGCGATTCGATACCCGTCGATACCGATGGGAGCACGGTATTTGTAGAATCCACGCGATCAGCTGTTGATAGATCGTTGTAGGCCGGCCTTGCAGTAGCTCCTTGCACTCCAGCATTCAGAAAGCTGCTGAATTGATCCATGATAATAACCTCCGTGTCATCATTTGGAATGTAGTCGTCGTCAGTCGTTTCAAATCTGACGTCGTCTTGAGGGTTCGTTTCAGCAAACTGGTATGGTTTCGTAATGTCGGATAGTTTGGAATTCTTGATTTGATTGTATTCCATGTCCAGCAGTGACGTGAATTTATTGTTGTTGTTGTTGTTGTTGTTGTTGTTGCCACTACTATTATTATTGGTCGTTTTGTCATCATTGATTCCTTCAATGCAAAAGTCACCATCTTCATTCAAGGTCGATGATTTCAGTGATGTTATTGTTGAAGGCATGACCAAGATTCCTCGCCTAGGAGTCGCCAGGTGAAAAGTTGAAAACGAAAATGATTGAGCATGAGAAAGAAGAGTGCCAAGAACACCCAAGATAGCAGTCGTATTGAATGATTTTGAAAACCGATGACGCGGTTGGTGCTGGAATGGTGATGGCGAAGATCTTCGAGTTCTTGCTTGTGGCTGTTGGTGGCTGTTCATCTTGCTGGGACGGCTTCAGCTGCACTGGGATGTTGAGCTGCTGTGTTTTTTATGCGGAATACGGAAGTTTTGCCACAACCTTATGATGAAGTTGCGTATACGTTGTGAACATGCGTTACTATATTTGTTTTTATTTCATCCCGCGTCATATAAAAATCCTACGTCACACAAAACGAAAAATATAGCCCATACTCGGATTATCATATAGCTGTAGCTACCTATTATTTAGAGCTACGGGTATCATCTACAGAATGAATACTTGACATGTGAAAGACTACAGTGCCCAATTTTCCTGTTTGAAAGACTACCGGTACAGTTCCCGGTTTTCCTGTTACATACAAAAATAATTAAGCATTACACTAAGACTCGTCGGCTTCATCAATGTCGTCATCAACCGCACACCAGTTGCTTCCCTCGATTTCCTCGTCGAATTCTTCAACAACGGAAGACTCCTCCTCTTCTCCTGGTTTGTCCAAGTACCTTCTTCCCCTAAGGGATAGCGCCCAGATGAGTACCGCAAAGGCCGGGACAATCGCAAACACAATAATCAAAGAATATTTCAGAGTCTGGATCGGCTCGTTTCTCCATCGGAAACCATCGTAAATGGCGTCGTCATCACCATTGTCCAAAGGATTGTATCGGATGGCCACATTTTGGATGGCCAGCCATGACAGATACAGGATTCCAAAGAGAACTGCAACGCTGCAATGCTTCAACCGCGAAGGGATGTGATCCACTAATAATCCCTGTACCAAAAGGATGGGCACAATGACCCCATGCGTCGTGACGTTCTCCAATAAAATAGGCCCCATCTTGGCAGGTCGTAGGGACCAATATAGTACAGCAATGACGCATTCCCATACCGAAGACAAGGAAAAGAGCACCCAAGTAAACTTGATCAATCTATTGTTGGCGTCAGGAGTGATCACAGCAGATGAATGACGGGTGGTCAGTAGAAAGGAACCCGAAAGGTAGCATATCGAAAAGAACATCCCCCACGATGTCAAGTAAGCAGGATAGAACGACAGAGGGGCCGGATGTATGACCATGTGATGCAGCATGATTCCCAATGTAGTGAGCAATGAGACCGATTTGAAGATTCCAACAAACGAGCAAAGCCCCTTTCCCGTCTGGAAGTTTTCTTTCAGATCCAGTCTCCCTTTGGGGTACTCTTCAACGCTGAACATAGAATGTGCCAATTCGGAATATAAAAGGGGACAATAACTCTGCATCATACGGTCGTACTGTAATACTTTCTTGATACTGGATGAATTGGATAAATGTAGGTGAATTGGCAAACTGAAAAGTGAATTCCGTTCTTATACCTTTTCAATAAAGGAAGATTGTCTATTAGGACCAAGAAGCACAATTTGGGGTATAAATGTCTTAAACACGTCGTCCTTCGGATGGTAATATTTTGAAATTTGATATGTAGCAAAGCTGTACGAAGAGTTGGCCGTCTTTCGCCAAGCGCTTACGGTCTCGTACCAGTACCGGGGTACCTGGTACCAGGTACCAGTATCTGGTACCATACCCGTACCGGTACCGGTACCAGGTATCATGCCGGTAAAACCCAGTCCTTCCGTCTCCCGAGTTGCAGGTACATATGTAGTTTTCCAATAGAGAACACGTGCTGGCGGTACGTACACTGTACGTCGGCCACAATGAAAATGACGAGGTGTTTTCTGTCTTCGCCTTCTCTTTTTTTTTGAAAGAATCTGCGGACATCCATCAAATCCCAAATTGATTCTTCAGGAAACAGTTTCTTCGCTAACATTCTTCATTGTGGATAGCCATCAATTCAAATCGTTACTGAATCAATCAATCGATCCACTGCACAAACGCCTACGCCAGAATGACAAGACTATTCGTCATCGGACTGGTTGCCGTTGCCTTCGCTTTCTCAACAGTGCAAGTCTCTTCCTTTTCTTCAGGAAAACATACTTATTCTCTTCATGCACAACAAAGACAAAAACAGCAGCACAAGTCTCCTGCTTCGTTTGGACTTCCCAAGGCTAGATTCGGTAGCGTTGTTGACTTCAGAGTGCAATCGCGATTGAAAGTCCCAGCGTCCGCAACCTCAACAAGTCTGTATTCTGCTGCTGCCGATCATTTTCGACAATCGGGCGCAGTCAATGGAGCAGCAGCAGCCGCCAATTTCAAAACCATTCCGCTTTCGACCAATCAAGGTATTTTCTTTGGATGTCTTTTGGCCATCACTTCCGGGATTATCAATGGGGCTACCCTCATGGGACTTTGGTCCAATAGTCAAGGAACCGCGGCCCTCACTGGTACTTTCACCAAATCTGCCATGTACATGGCCAAGGGCGAATGGCAAACTTGTCTTTGGTACACCAAGTGCCTAATTTCTTGGATGGCTGGGTCCACCATTGTCGGATTGTTGATTCCTGAACCGTCTGCCTTTGAGGTCAAATATCCCAAAGGACTGGCCGCGAGTTTGGCGATCGGAGCTACCTGTTTGTCTTTTGCTGGTCTCAGCATCGGCGGCCCATCCTTTGTACTACTATGTTTAATGGCACAGGGTATCCAAGATTCCGTCTCTTCCATCATGACGGCCAATCTTTGCCGTACGACTCACATGACAGGAATCGCTTGCGATTTGGGAACCTTTTTCGGCCAACGGTTGCGTGGCAACAAGGATATCAACCCAACCAAGGTTCGAGCCTTTTCCCTATTGACTTTGAGCTTTTGCTTGGGAGCATTTGCATCGTTTCCATTGTCTACCATCTTTGGACCTCGAATGTTATTGGGAGTGGCCGGTGCTTATCTAAGCATCGCTGCCTCCATTGGAGTGTACTATATGCGTCAGAAGCTTCTTGTCACCTCTGCTTAGAAATAAGAGATACAATGCAAGAGGTGGGAAGAATGGCATCTATGCGTGTGTGTATGTATTATATATGTGTATATATATGTATGTATATTGATGTTTGGAAAGCCAATGGTAGCGAGATCCTTGGAGAACAAAGGAGAGAATACATAATATGTCAGCCCAGCCAGGAGGATGTTCTTGTTGGGCCGGCACTTCTACTATACAAGTCCTGAATGGATGAATGCATGAATCAAACACCAATGAATCAATCATTAGGCTTTAGGAATGAGCCAAGAATTACACATAATTTTTGGCATCGGGTAGCTTTCAACAACTCCAGAAAATAAACTAAATATATATAACACTACTTCGTATGATACCGAGACGAATGAATCAATCGTTTGATCTTCGGGAACTTGTACTGTACCGCCGGGTGGGTCGGATCATCGTATGTTGCCAGGCGTCGGAAGTAGGCAGAGGTTGGCATTGGAAGGATTCAAAATCGACGTATTTTCATGTAGAATCAGTAATGGTAAATCAAATCCAAAATTGAAACGCCGATATTGTGCGGGCCAATATAGCTACTGTAGGTTTTGAAGAGTAGACTAAATAGGATTAATAAAGGCACTAACTATTTTTTAAAAGTACATGTACAATCTCTTCTAATTGGATGGCTTTCGGGCTGATCGCCTTGTAAAATGTTGCCCATGGTGAACATTGGAGTGAGTCGTATGCATACATCTTGGAAACTTGTTTTTCCTTGCTAATAATATCCGGTGTGTGGTTGATTGTTGTATAGTATTGGTGTTCAGACGACTTACGAACTCACCTGCTGTACGCCAAAAACTCTCAGCCAAATACTCCAAGAGTTGGTGTCGCAGCAGTACTCTTGCATGCAAACCCCAAAAATGAGGCCTGTCTTATTGCAATCGAAGCACGGTAGAGGTCGAATGAACATTCGAGTAGCTCTCCTTTGGAGTAGCTCTCGTGACAAAACAAAGCCTCTGCTTTGATTTTGAGAGCATTTGGAATGTGAAAAAAGTGAAATTGAAGAAACCAGTTTGGAAACGGCCAAGACTAAATCAGCGAAAGTTTGAGCACGTTTTCGGCAGGTTCACAAGGTTCATCATCATCATTGTCAAGCATTACAATTTTATTTATTTATTTCCTTATATTAAAATAATTGCTCGATCGCATCGCCTACCGGTATAATAGTACTGTACCGGGTAGTCAATATCGTATCGTTGAAGGTTTGCTTTGAGATGACTACTGCGACTAAAAACAGACGTTTGATTGAATTTCTGGCATTCGGAAACCAAAGCGCCCTTGTACGATAAATAAAATACCGATTGAAATGATGAAGCGAGAGAAAAAAGCGTGTAGTCGTGAAATACCGTAGGTATGTACCAAATGACTTGCTCACTGGCATGGCGGTAACGGTAGATTATTTTTCCTTTCCTTCTTTGAGCCTGTTGGCCCTTACCATGTACCGACCTACTGTAGGGTTAGGGTTATCTACTTTTAACATCCTAGACTATGATAATCTTTGTGTAATATAATGCAAAATTTGTTTATCCTAGTATAATATTCACAATGTATAGTACATTCATATATCTTCATTCATTCCTTTCTCAAGCCTTCTTATTAATCTTGACCCCCAAGTCTAATAGTTTTTGCATGCGTTCTTCCGTCATACAAGTAGATCGATCCCCGGACAGGAACAATCGACACGCATGCCGTTGTCGTTTGAGCCAGACGGAGAGTGCTCTATGTTTGGCCGTTCGTTTGCTCACTTTCAGATTGCCATGTTGATGAAAGTATTCCACCAATTCTTGGAATCGTCCATCCCACAAGGAAGCTCGCGAGTTCCACACAAATCCAAGTTGCGTGAGTAGCATTTCACGTTCGTCCGTCAAGGCGGAATGCTTGTTTTCCTTTTTGAGTTTGTATTGATGGCGTTGTCGTTTCACCCATTCGCTCAAAGGCCGATTGCTGCTCCAAAGATAGGGAACATTGCAATCTCCGTGATCCTTCTTGTACAAAATGAGCTCTTGGTAGCGTTCCTTCCATCGTGTCGACTGTTGCGATCGATGTTGAAGATCATCAAAGTCATCAGCATTGGCGGTGAGCATGCTGACCGACGAACTCGAGGTGGAAATGGAGGGAGCACCATACGAAGAAATCTTGGGTGGCACCATTGTTGCTTGTTGTTGTTGTTGTTGTTGAAAGGCTAGCGAAAGCGCATTCGCTCTTGGAGATGCAGCCGCCGCAGCAGCCGCAATGAGTGGGGAAGAAGCACTTCCAAAGTCTGCTTCCGCAATCTTGTGGATACCAGTAAAGGAAAGATTGGGAAAGAGGGAGTCCATGGAAGAGATGTTATTCAGTTTCTTGTTGCTTGGTGAGGGCTGCCTGTTGAGGACAGCGGAGGAGCTTTGGCCTGATGCATTGTTTGAGCCTTGTTGGTGATGATGAAACATCTGTGCCAGCGAGTTGGTTTGAGAAATCAGGCTGTAGTTGAGAGGCACTTGATCCTTGGTGGAAACAATGTTGCAACTTCCACCGATGGGAGTCGGCATGAACAGATTGTTCATTTGTTGCTCCACGCTGGAAGACGCTGAGGCTGATGCTGAGGCTGATGCATCCGTCTGCATGGACAAGACTGGAAACAATTGAGAATAAGGATCGTTATCTGCTTGCGGTGATGATGAGCCTGCGAGGGAAGCTGTGGCAGAAACGGTAGTTGCTGAAGATTCCTTATTAGAATCAACAGACGCATGCTGAGCTTGCTTCTCATGGTAACTCGAGTTCAGAGCTCCAATTTCTTGTTCTGTGAGTGAGCTGATGAAATCGTTGGCTCTCCCAAGTTCTCCAGGCATGAAGAAGGAGGAAGCACCGTTGCTATTGCTGTTGCTGTTGCGATTGCTGTTCGCATAACTGCTGATGCTGTTGCCCTTTTCTTGTGCAGCAAAGCCGCCTTGTTGCATGAATGAATCCATCATATTTAGTCTTTGTTAGTACTGAATGAGATAGACAGATAGATAGATAGATAGAGATGGTGTGTGATTGAACGAGTCTCTTTCTGTTGTTGTCAGTGAGTTCAATAAAATGGAAAGTAGTATTGAGTGAAGTGTGAATTGTAAGTTGCGAAACGTCACGGTTGACTGTATTTTATGCGAGGTAGTGGTAAGGACACAATCGTAAGAATCGCGAGAGAACCCACAACGCCAAATGCTTCGTGTCAGTGTCCTCTTCCAAAAGAGCAAAAAAACATAATTCTACATACACTTTCACCGTCAGTTGCATACGTATGCGAGTTTTACTTAAGAACAGCGCAAACGAGTCGATTTTTGCACCACGTCAATAATTCAATTATGCAATACTATGTCCGACAAGAAACACCGTCGAGCTCAAAAACTTGTCAACAAGTTTTAGACTTATGGAATAACAATTTCAATTTTGATTCTTTTTCCTCAGCGAACAAGGCCTGATTTCTTTGGATAGGGTTCCCGCGAAGGAAGAATCGACAATATTGGAAAGGAGATCGCAGGAATGGGAACATGTCTTCCGTCAGTGAAATCCAATCGGATGGGAACAAACTCAAGATTGATTTGACCGAATTGACTCACAAAATGGTCGCATTTAGAACTAATAATGTCCTGATTTCGCACTGTTGTTCCAACGCCTGTGTTCGCTTTGGTTCGACCATTCGGACTTGTGGTCTTGCCGAATTCCAAAATGGTCTGATGGAATCCGAGTGGCGGATGCTATTTAGAGACTTATTATGAGTCTATGAATAATACCCTAATTGATTGCTAGACCTAAATACAGGTAATTGTCTCGCCGGTCTCGAAATGGTCCGAACGAGTCTCGATGGTTTTGACTAATAAGTAACCGCTATTACGCACACAATGCGGGAACATTTCTCTCTTCTCCTATTACTCTTGACGGACGTACACCGGATATAGATAGTACTGCAGTAGTACCGGTAGGTACCAGTACCTACGACTGTTACACCTACCATGCAACCAAGAACTAAATAAGGTAATGCACGTATTGAGCACGAATGCGGGTTACTCTTGACGGACGTACACCAGACATAGACAGTACCTGCTACGGTACGGTAGTACCGGTAGAACAAAGAACAAAGAACTAAAGAAGCTAAAGCACGTACTGTATTTTAATATACCTAAATAGAAGTACAACTAAGTCTACCCTTTGGTGAACTCAGCTCGACCAATGCATTCATCTTGACTGTTTGCTTCCTGGCTGCCTGTCTAGTACTCGACAGTTGGTGTCCTCCTTGCTTCTTCCTTCTTCCACCATACGAGTACTAGTACTAGTAGTAGTAGCTTGTGCTGCAGGAGGAGTGCAGTGCAGAGAGATCATGTTGGTGTGCCTGGTTCGAAGCCTAGATAGAGGAGAGAGGAGGGCTATTTCTGTTGCAGAGTGAGTTCTTTTTTTTTTGCACTACAATTTCCTTCTAGCTCTAGCTAGTATTACTACTACGTTGTTAGTAATACTAGCGGACCTAGAGTGACGATCAGACTTCTGAAGATGGATCGACCGAGCTGCCAAGTACCTGGAACCTACAGTACTCTTACTGTATCTTCTTGTCTTTTCTCCGCTCAACATACTCTACTGCTACCTATAGGTACTGTATACTCCTCAGATCTCTCATTTTGGGAAACAAGGCACAAACCTGCTTCTTGATGTTTATGATACTACCACGTAATACCGGCACCTGCTGGTACCGCTCCCTTAAGTGGTACCGGTAGAGCCGACAACTCACTTGTGTGGCTGTGCAGAACCTGACCTGGCTACCAGTGATGATTTATAAATACAGGAATGGCAGAGTTTGTACCGGTACCAGGTACCTGGTACCGGTAGAGCGTTGTTAGCATCGAGTGCCGCTTTCTAATAAGAAAAAAAAATGCTGTGCAGCCACCTAATTGAATGCTGGAACACATTATGAGGCGCTTTTATACCTTTTCTGTTTCGCAACTAGATATTGTTATATCTGACGGATGGATTATCTCTTGGGACCATTACTTAGGATCACTCTAGGATCAAATTTTGTCCTAATCGCTTCAAAAGATTCCGGTACCCATGTTCATAACCTTCGCGACCATCCAGTACCAACTTTGAACTTTTGAGCTTCCAAATTCGAACAATTCTCGCGGCAAGCGCTAAAGGATTACTTTCCGACTCACGTGTGTCGGGAAATGTGGCGAAATTGGTGACAGCAGGGCATAAATTTATTTTATAACTTGGATGCGCCATTTTGATTTTACTTTCGCACTTTCAACCGCAATCGATATAAAAGAGCAAACAAATCATACCCAACAACGAATCAGAGCAATACCGTTGCAGCTTTACAATACCGTATAAATATTGAATATACAACAACAACAACAACAACAACCGCGACCCACAACCGTAACCCACAACAATCACAATCACAATGAACACACCTGAAGAAGAATCCAATAATCTCTGCCAAAAGCCTTCTAAGAGGGACGTTAATAAGGGTCATGTCAAGTTTGCCGACCAACCCAAGGTTCATGACGTCCTCCGAAGACGAAGTCAAATCTCTCGTCAATCCCTACAAGGCATCTGGTTTGATGGAGAAGACTTTGAAGACTTTGTCGAGGACATGAACAAGTGTGTCGACAAGATGGAACAAGGCAAGCGCTTGAAGGACAAGAAGTATTCCTCACTTGGTTTGGAATCACTCACAGAAGAAGGATCAGCCATTCGACAAGCCAATCAAGAAGATGCTTGGGATGCCGTCTTGTTGGAACAAGAACATCAACAAGCAGAAGGCAAACGATCTAGTATTCAAATTGCCGAAGCCTATCGCCAAATTTCATTTGAATCTCAACTCTATGCTCAAGAACAGGCACAACTGGTGCACGATGAAATGGAGCAATACTATCTTTATGCCAGGGACGATTTGGATATTGACTCATCCAATCGTTATGATTCCAGCAGCAAGGATATGTTGCCAGAAGAACATCACAAGGCCGAACGACGACGATCCAATAGTTTGCCCAGGATGACGACCAACAACACCGCCATGCGGACCTCTGTCTTTTAACAAAAAAGAAGACAGTTTTGGGCAGCAAGAAAAAAAACGACTGCTTAGTCTTTTATTATCTTAATCTGCGTAACGCAAAACAAAAGCAAATTTTCACAAATTATAAATGTGTGTGGGTGTGGGTGTGTGGTGAAAGTATTCCGCCAATAAAACCCACAACAAGTGTGATGACGTATACCTGATGTCTATGTAATAAAAGTGAACAGATGGCGTCGGTTGATATGATATATGTTAGCATCTTAGCAATATTAATGCATCATTGCTGCTATTCTATATTGTTATTATTGTATTTGTTTCATCATTATTTCGAATATCTATATATACCGGTATACAGTTACATAAATACTACCAATCATATATATATTATATGCTTATTGCTTCATACTTGGCACAGTAGGCTTTGGCTCCATCATGGAATGCTACAGACTAACATTCAGATAACACAGGAGAGCACTCAATATTCAAGTGGCGCAAAGATGATGATTTGGCATCATTGACAGTATCATTGACAGAATTACTGGGCATGCTGTCCATTGCCTTGTTCGTGACTCGTCCACCACCACCACCACCATAGTATTTGGACAAGGCATGTGGAGTCTCGTCACCTTCCAAGATTTGTCCATTGTAGGTGAAGTGTAGGCAATTGCGATCCAACTCTTGGGCATTTGCAACTTCTTGAAAGATGCGATTTAACGGAGCATGCTTTTCAAGGTGAAAGGTTTGAAGCTTGGTGGTGGTGGTGGTGGAATAGTGATGGCTCGACGACGATGATGATTCCTCCTGCTGGTTTTCCTTGTCATCCACATTACTACTACTAGGAGCATTGCCGTGCTCCTCCTCATGGCCAGTATTGTTCTCAGCATCATCCTGGTTATCCTTTTGTTGTTCCAAGTAGTATTTCTTGGAATTCAAAGAACAGTGGATCTGAACCGAAATAATGAAAGTAGTAGTATTGGTAGTAGGACTACTAGTAGGATTCTTCCATGGGTGACGACGACCTCTGGAATCAGTGAGGCGGATCTTCTTTCTCCGTCTGCCATGATCATGATTATTTTCGTCGCCACCACTGTCGTTGGATGTTATTGGTGACGCACAATCTCGCTTTAGTGATATTGGTTCCATTGGTCTTGTTCTTGTTCTTGTTGCTGTTGGTTTTGGCTGCTGCTGGTTGTTCATTGTGGAAGCCCTGCTGCTGCTACCAGAACTACCAGAACTACCAGTGCTGCCACCAAATTGCCACACTTTGGGATCGAGTTGTTCTTGATTGGTCTTTTCACAAATGAACTGGATTGTATTTTTGATGAGCTGTCTCTTGTGCCTTCGTCGTCGTTGCCTATGCTGATGGCGCTGGTGCTCTTGCTGTGACTTTTGTTGATTCTTCGTTGCACCATCATTTGAAATGCCATCATCATTGTCATTATCAAAATCGTCATTATCATTCTCCAACAAATAATTATTGTAATGAACAATCCGTCCCATCAATAGTTGGCAATCACTTTCATAATGTTGGGTATCCCAAATGTGCAATTGCCAAATCTGATCGACCAATGGACAGGGCATTAACCAATGATTGGATGGTAAAAAGGATGCCGCATGAAGAAAATCCTTATAGGCCTTTACAATGCGTTTGGCAGCCTCCAGGTCCCATCCATATTCGGCTTGACAACGATGCAACAATCGAAGAGCTCCACCACCACCACCACGACCACTGCTGGTGGGAAACTTTGCAGCCTTGTCGTTGGCACCAGATAGAGTTGGAGGAAGTTCCCACCAAGTCGACCAAGCTACGGTGGATGCACAAAGAATGTTGTTTATGTTGGCAAAAGCTGATGATGATGATGATGATGGCATGCTGGAAGATTGATTCATTCTTTGACGCCAAGAACTGAATAAGACGAGGGAACGTTGAGAGTTCCCTGTCAATAGATTGAATTGAAGGAGATACTACAATTGATGTGAGGATAAGAATTGATGGGCTGATGGACTGATGAACCCTAGCTGTCAAGAACCTTCCTCCTTCTTTCCGACCTCATACTGTACCAGTGGAGACTCACCTCTTCGTCGTCGTTACATTTATTTTGTCACACATATTTTTGAATTATTTGGTTCGACTGTTTCTGGAAAACGTTATTTTGAACGCCAGCAAAGCTCGAAGGAGTCAAACGGGATTCTCCACGCCAGCCTAGGTCGAACAGGTCAAAATAAATGCCATCTGCTCCCACCAAATTTAGCAGATGGTCGAACTGGCATTTTCGAGTAATGCTCACTTTGCACGACATACCTACGCCAATGACGTACCAAATTTTGGCTCTGGCTGGCTTGACAAGAAGGCGAACTCGTTCGAACAAAGTGCGTTGGTCCAGGTTTGGATGGAGTTATTTTCCAACCAACCACAAACTCAGTCTCACAAATTCAATTTCCACGAATTTCGTCAACCTTTTTTGACTTTTTCCCGAACGACTGAAAACCGCAGTCGTATTTAGCGATTAGTCCAAACAAGCATATATAAACCATCTGCTTAGTCTCTATTTACCTACACACTACCTACCTACCAATCCTACCTACCTACCTACCAATCCTATTCAACCCATCAAGGAAAACTATATGAACCGTAGCAGTAATGAAAGCAACACTTCCAGAAATCAAGTATTCACACAATCACCACAATCGCCAGAACAAACACCATTGCGACTAAATCAAACAATCCTAGTAGCAGCAAGAAAAATGGGAGCCACCAATACGAATTCTCTTGCTGATTACTTGGTCAGCATTCGCACCAAGAAACAACCAAAACAACAATTTCACAAGAATCACAAGCAAGGAGAAACATTCAAGCAAACACGAGTTAAAAGACCTGATGATGATGATAACAACAAAAGGAACAACCACTCGACAATTGACACGACCAAGACGAAGCGAATCAAGACTGCTAAAAAAGAAGAAACAGTCATGACTCTTGCCTCTAAAAATTCCAGCACCAAGGCAAAAATCCAGACGCCCCAGTATTCCGCAGCATGCACGCTGCAGCCACATTTTACCAAGGATGCTTCATTACGACTAGTGCAAGGCAAGAACCTTGAGCAGGAACAAAAAAGTCAATGCAAGGAACATGTTCAATACCAATTGGAGATTCCATCTGGCTTGTTGGACGATTTCTCAATGGAAGCTCATCCATCCAATTCGAACGCTTCCGACTCATCTTGCAGCATTAGCCAAATTACGCAAGATTCTTCATTGGATGAAGAAGACTATGCGTACAGCAGCGAGGAGGAAGAAAAAGACTGTCATGATGACAATAATGATGATGATGGTCATGATGATGATCAAGAGATGCAGTCCAGAGACGGCAGCGGATGTAATCATCACATTCTGGAACCAAGCAGACAATACTCCCCAGATGCCAAACTTCCCGAAGTGAAGGAAGGGGCACGAATGCTTTTGGATTTATTGTCCATGCCATGAAGCGCTACTGTATAAACACACAATTCCTACACCTACAGTATACCAAAGAACCAACCAACCAACCAACCTTTTTCTTATGCATCACACTCACACACACGCGTGTGTCTGCAAATATCTACACAATCCAACCAATTGAAAACAAAACAAAACCAAACCAAACAGATAGAACAATAGAACTTTCATTTCATCATATGACTACTTGGTACCATACTATATTGTTCCTTTTTTTGAGAACGAACAGTAGTGTGTTCATGTACTGTACCAGTAGTTGCTGAGGATCGATGCGATGACCGCCACCTTGTCAGTCGATTGCTTCGACTAAACCGATTTTCATGACAAACATTTTCACAACATAATAATGGTCAGGAATAACGCAGCCGTTGTTATTGCCACTCGTCCCTTCCTAGTATCCTTTTATATCTTGATTCTGTTTGCTCTTAATCCATCGGGGAATCCAGCAGTGTTTGCCATAATGTCTACGAATAATAGGAATACGAATAATACTACGAATACAACGAATACAACGAATTCAACACCAGCTTCAGCTTCAGCTTCAGGTTATTCAACCAGCAGCAGAACATCATCATCATCATCATCATCATTGCCTTTAAAAATGGCAACCAGAGTGGACCAAGTTGTCAAACGAGTTTCTCAAAAGGGTGACGAATGGAGATCGTTGCCGATGGATACCAAAATTAAATTGTTGGAGCAAATCATTCAGAATACCATTCAATACCGAAACGAATGGGTCGCCTGTCATCAATCGAACCTACTATTCGCCCATATTGACAATGACGATGATGATGATGATGATGACCCCTCATCTTCTACCAATGACAAAATAACAAGAAGAACAAGATTGATGAATAACCATGGATATGCCATGGTGGATATTCTCGTACGAGGTCCCGCCACATTGGGAAGTTATGCCAATGGTATCTTGGATTCCTTGAAGCATAATATTCAAAAGAACAACAATGATGGAAGACCACCACCTCCCGTATCAACACGAACGGTGGGCGGCGGGCCCAGGATAAGCCGTCATGGAGTCGTTATTGAAGATGATGTTGAGAATGAAAATGGATTCTATCCGGAAAAGATAGTGGCCACAGTTTGGCCATCTCCTTGGAGTCTGACACAATCATTGGAAGCCTTTGGAATGAAGGCGGAAATGGTCTGCGACGTTCAAGATTCTGCCATGTTGCAGCAGACTCATGACTCGTACGTGCAAGAGCACAATTCAAAGTTGCTCGTCTCAAACAATAAAAATGTTGGATGTTCCGCCATTTTGGCTGCCGGAAACTTTGATGCACCCACGGATTTGCTCTGCGAACTATTCATCAAAGGACGTGTCTGCGTCTACAAGGCCAATCCAATCAACGAGGCATCCATTCCAATCCTGAAAAAGATATTAAAACCATTGTTGGATTTGGGATACGTGGAATTCTCACCCTCCACGTCAATAGAAGCGGCACAGGCCTTGGTCGAACACCAAGGGATTCAAGAAATTGTCTTTACGGGATCCAAGGCCACTCTTGATCGTATTGTCTGGGGGAACTCCAAAGAAGAACAAGACCAAAACAAGGCCAAGAATACTCCAATCAATACGACACCGGTATGTTCCGAATTGGGATCCGTGAATCCATGGATTATTGTTCCAGGTCCCCAATGGAACAAACGAAGCGTCGACGATCATGCCCGTGCCATGGTATTTGCCAAGATGAGCAACAATGGACATATTTGTGTGTCGCCACAAGTCATTATCTATCCCAAGGATTGGAAATTCCGACAATTGTTTCGGGAAAAGGTGGAACACTGGATGTCCAAACATCCTGGAACCGTGGCATTCTATCCTGGATCACATGAAACTCATCAAAGTCTACAACAACATCCGAATGCCAAGCTGGTACCTTATGGAAATCCAAAGAAGAAGAGTCGTGGTCATGACGAGGAGAAACAACAATCAGAACCAATCTTTCCTGGAGAACAACGACCATTGTTCATTGGGGACATGTCATTGGAGAATGAACGAGATCAGAATCTTCTTCGACAAGAAGCTTGGTGTCCAGTACTCATGGAACTTGCAATTGATGCGGAGGATGTCGACACGAAACCTATGGAATATTTGAGAAAGGCAGTCGATACGGCCAACACCAATCTATATGGCTCGCTGTCCATAAACATTTTGATCGACAACAAAACCATGAGACGGAATAAAAAAGAACTGGATCATATCATTGTGCATGAAATGCCATATGGCTTGGTGGGCATCAACGTATGGCCTTGTTATGTGAATAGCATGTCCCAAGTACGATGGGGAGCCTTTGTCGGCACTGATGAATCTGGAAGTGGCACTCTGGCCAATGCCCATTTGTATCGAAATGTCGAAAAGACAGTGCTTCGGGCACCCTTTCGACACTTGCCGCGCAAGGCCATTCAAGTCATGGATCCCAAAAAGGCTCACTTGGTCTTTTCTAGATTCACCACTTTCAAACTGAAACCAAACATTATCACTCAAGTCGGACTCTTTGCAGCTCTATTTCTCGGAATATAGCAATTAGTCCTATACTAGTAACTAGGACATGATAAACTTTGTTGATATTTTGCTACTTGCCTCTATGTATATTATATATAAATATATTATATATGCATGATTATTCAGAAGAAACTAGTTTTGGTCTCAATGCGCAATAAAGAATGGCACCAAAGATTGGTAGGACAACAGTGGATGCAGCTATAGCCGACGCCTTATTTCCAGAACTATCAAATCCTCGTCGTTTCAAATCTTCAGGAATAAGTGAAGCAGCAGCCACTGTCAAGATGGCCAAATCACAGGATGAGACGGAAGCAATTGCCGTGGACTGAAACAATTCACTGTATCCTTGAATTTGACCTCCCGCATCTGCCGCAAGTCCACTGAGAAAACCAGTGGATACAAACACACTGGCGGCTAGTGCTACCATTGCCCAATTGAAGATCTTATTTTCTAGCACATTCTTGGTTACCCATCCAAGGTCTTCCTCTTTGACAGCTGTCACTTCTTTTCGAGTGGACAGGGCGATTCCTTCATTATAATAAAAGTTGTTTGTTAGTCAATCAATACAAACACGACCACGTCTGACGAATGCCATGGAAGGATAGAAAACTTACCAACAGATCCATAGCCTGCAAATACACCCCCCAGCAGAAAAGGAACCAACGGTGGCTTTTGACCCTTCGCCCCAGGCATTGTGAGGCAAGCAAAGGGAAGTGCTGCCAAACCCAGCAGATTAAAGATGGTTGCAAAGAGTTCATTGACACCGGGATTGACTGGATCCGCCAGGAACTTTTCCAGCACTGCCTGGGAGGCCCCTGGAGCTTCCATGGTCGTCATGACGTATCCAATCGCCAAGAATCCAAAGTATGCAACGGCATAAGGGGCATTGATCTGAATATCGCTAAAGAGCCCTGTACTTTCCTCGTCGACAATTTGGTTCTTGGCTCTCAAACTTGTTGAAGACATTGAAGGCATTGAAGACATTGATGATGCAGAAGATGGAGAAGCAAGTGTGACGGAAATTTTGTTGACTGCATTTTTCTTGTGGTGGGTGTTTGGGCGGACGGCCACAGGGGCGCGAGAAAGCTGAGTGAAAGCCGATGCCACATCAGCAACTGCACTCAAGACAATGAGGAAGAAGGCAGATATTTTCATGATGGATGGATATGGAAAGGTCCTTCAGTAGAATGATAGTAATAAGATCGGCAACGTCGATGATGATAGATGATGATGGATGAATATCATTTGTATGTGACGATGATGCGATAATGAAAGAATTCATCTATGACGTGTTCTACGGACAGAAATAAACGACGGACAAAAAAGGAAAGACGGACAGAAAAGATGAAAGATAACGGACACAATACAGTACGATTGCATACATTGAATATTGAATATTGTGGTTCGGTATCTACAGAATGTAACACCACTATTGAGTCTACAGTCACTTGTCCATACTAATACATGCTGCTTTAGTTAATATGAAAGTTGCTTGAGTCTCAGTGTCCCAATCTTCCCCCCTATCGATCAGAGCACAATGTCCATTACGGACTGGCAGTCCTGGCAATCGTTGATGCATCGTAGTCATCCAAGGATTGTAACGTATTCATAGGAATTTTCGATGCGTTATGTTGGACTTGACGTTGTCGAAGTCGGACTTCTCTTGGTCGCCCTCCAAAAAAAGGTACTGAACAGCATCCAAGCATGCCAGAGAAAATCATCGTCACTACCAACGGGTACCATATCAGCCACGCAATTCCCAATTCGATGCTTGCATATATCAATACTCTGGTAGGATTATAGGATGTAGCTTGGTCAGCTACCAATGCGCTGATCATGACTGCGAGTCCAATCCACAGGAGTACCCAGAAAAAGTAGCCGAGCATAACTTGTGTGCAACAAAGATTCCACACGACTGCATCATGTATTGCATGCACCAAGCTGGCGCCGAACCAAAGACACACTAGAAGCAGCGTTATTTGAATTTCACTCTTATCATCCCCGTCGCTCCAAGAAAAGGAGACAATCTCTTCGTTCAAAGTATTGTCCATGTCTTTGAAGAGCAACGCTGAATTCGTTGCTGATAACGCAACCAGGATTGACACCGCCAAGCCCGTGATTCTTTCACCAAACCCAATAGGACTGAGCCGAAAAGTCAAGAAGACTGCAAGGAGTGGATGGTTGTTCGCCATGTATTGGAACCAATCATCCTTCCATGTTGTATTTGATGGGAGATGAAACGCTCGTCTCCGCAAAGCTTCGATGGTGGCTTCTCTCATCTCTTGGCTCGCTTCCAAGCTTTTACGTTTTGTTCGAATCTCTTCAATCTCCCGCAGCCTCATTTGAAGTTTCTCCTGGATGTTGGAATCATCTCCCCATCGACTCGCATCTCTTGAATTATGATGATGCCTAGTCTGATGATGCTCGGCACGGCGCGGGTGGTGGGGCATAATGCTTTTTGGTCAAATGACCTTCTTGCCTCGATTGGAAAATGAGAAATACGGAAGGCAATGGTGTTGACAGCAGTGTGTTGGTTGACTGAAAGAGTGTGTTATGCAGGACAATTAACAGCGGGTATATTTTGATCAACATGCAACAGATCGTCGCAACACGAATACGTGCAATTATTATTTGCCCCACTATAGAAGGAATCAATCAATCAGATTTTGAATGATCGCCATTTTTATCTACCGGGAACTGAATTTGGGTTTTCGCCCTTAAATGAGGAACCTCTATCGTTAAATGTAGGTCGCTACACGACTAATTTAGAGGACTGCTTCCGAGCAAGCGAGGTTGTCACATATTTCAACATACTCTCCACAAAACCCAATGACTGCGGATTTGAGTGGGCACAACTGAAGGATCTATACTGTAGGTCCTACTGCGAACATCCTAAGAGATTTGGCATAGTTTTCAAAAAAGCACATCAATGCAATATACCAACGGTTGAGCAGAAAATGATAACATGTTTTTGCAGCCTCCGCTCCTTGCAATTGCTACCAGCGGATGATCGGCCGACTGCTTCCTCGAGTCTTGTTTTTCACTTAAAATCAAGTTCAATCCATTTGCGTGCAAGTAGAACAAGCTCATTGTTGCTACATCGTGCTGCATTCGTTGCAATCATTATCATTTGCCGCCATCCTTCACATTGTGATGCCAAAAGTCAGCATATGCAAAAATTTACTTCGTTCCGACTACAATCTTGATCACTTCCGTCAAGAAGGCCAAGTTCATTGACTTCAATCAATGGTTCGCATGTCGTTCATTCTTGCTCCCAGGCTCCAGCGACACCCAGCCACCGCATAGTACTTTCTGAAGGCTCTAGTGCAGCATGTATGGTCTACGAGGGGCATTCTCGTCTCCTGGACAATCTGGATTATGTTTCGCAGCTGAAGATGGCTGGCATATACAATAATGTCATTGTCAGTTGCATTCTGATTTGGATTCTTGGAATTTTTTGCAACTTCAACGTGAGGCTCGCTATGATAGAGAAGACAATATAGACAAGGTTATGGAGCAACTGTGAAGAAGTCAAGACCTGCCGGCAGTTTGAGTTTGACTTCATAAGCGCTGGATCCCTACTAGTACATCCCTAGGCCTAGGGAGGATAAGGTAGAGAATTCCTAACCTCACTAACCTGTTCGGCCGACCGCAATTCTACATTTGTCAGAGTACGTCGACGTCGGCACGGTTAGTGCTGTCATGCAAAAAGTTTAATTTGCTGTCATGCAAAAGTTTAATTGTTGCCGAGTTGATATTTGGCTGGACTTGAGACATCACACTGTTCATACATGTGTGTACCGTCCAGACCAACTTAGAAAAGCACATCATGATGCAATCGAATGCCTCCCTCAAAATGTAGACCCATTGCTTTTCGGAGAAAATGGCAGAGGCTGAAATGAAGCCTAGAGACGAAATCAGAAATAAGGTCTTGTCTACTGCCGGACAAATATTTCCTACGATGTCTGAAGATTATTTAACGTCTTCTTTTAGTGCCACCTTGTTGGTACACGTACATACCGGTATATACAGGGCGTGAATTCATCGGCAAAGAATACTTTATTTTCGGGAAAACCCTTTTATTATCTGCCTTCGGCTGTTACCATTTCTGATTGGCTTTCTACATCGAAGAGACTTTGATGAAGGACTACTATCTATTGGTAGAGAGACTTATTGAACATTGTATTTCATATCATACGGTGATCGGAATAATGTGTATCATCGAGCATATAACCGATACGTGGTGCAGCATATCGGTACATATCTCATCGCTCGGAATTCGATCCATCTCATTCTATTCGGATTGACCTGCGGCAGCATTATGGTTGTTAGCTTTAAGCATAGATTGGATTGTGCATTTGTTTTATTCGTTTGTTCGTTTGCAGATAGCAAAAGTCGCGCCGGTGCGATTGCGATTTTCTGGCATTGGTAGCAATCGCGAATATATCATCAACGATGCTATTTTGAGCCAAATGCATGTCAGTAAGGTGATCTCTAACGATAACCGCCAAAAGTGAGTGCGTTTCACAGGAGTCGTTGTGGGCGGCCACAGCAGTGTTATCTTGATTATATTCTGAATCTATCCTGACACTGACAACTTTGTCAAACTATCTCTATATCTTAGCCTTTGCTATATGCTACATAAAATACTGAGCAATAGTCGCGATTGATTATATTCTGTTGTGCCCTTCGTGATTGATTATACTCGATTGTGCCCTTCGTGGTATTTCACCCTCTCAGCTTGCTTGTCAGATCTCAGCTTGCTTGTCAGATCCCGTACCAAGTCTTCAAGTGCTGCTGCACTTCACGGCAGTACGACTCCGTCCCTAGATTACCGTTCGGTAATTTCTTGACTGGATTGACAAATTGAATGGGGACTCGCGCAGGGGACATCGGGGGTGGTTGCATATCCGAGAACAAGACATGCCGACGCGTAAACATTTCCTCGGGAGCATTGTCAAAAATACTGCCATCTAGTAGTGGCGGACAAGATGACGCTTTCTCTGCAGGGGCAATGACAGCGACAGCGTCCTTCTTCTTTGATCCTTTCTTTGATACCTTCGGTACCTTCTCGACCTCCCACTGAAACCCAATCTGATTGAGTGCTGCAATCTGCTCGGTTGTAATCCTGGTTCTCTCGCCCTTTTGAGCTCGCAAGTACTCTCGGCGCTGTCGGCGAGACCAAGACCGCAGTTCTGAGTAGTTTTCGGAGTTATCAGGAACGACGGTACCCCCATGCCTTCTTTTGTATTTTTTGAGGCGCTTGAATTGTTTCTGCCACTCCCGCTCCATTTCTTGCATCTTTCGGTTTTGTTTTAGCTTTCGCTTCTCCTCCTTGATCATCCAATGGTCCTGCTTCTCGACAGCACGAGAAAGGTTGCCAAAGATTTTTCCTTGAGGGCTGACCCAGTTCTTTCTCCTGAATCTAGAGTTCCAAACGCACCTCCAACCATCTTTCTTCAATCCCTTCTCTCGCCCTCGCTTCAGAGCTGCCCGTTCTTGCTCTACGCTCATTTCATGCAATTCTTCTGATGTTGCAATTAGAACTGATGCAGGGTCAGTCCCAGAAGGACTAGGGCCTTTCTTCAGCGTTACAAAAGAACCAGGGACTCTGGTACCTGACTCTCCCTCGTCGCTTCCATCCTCTTCATCATTGCCGTCGTAATCGATAGCTTCACGCTCAGCATCCTCGGGTTCTGCTTCCAATATCATCTTTTGTGCAATTGAAATTGCTCTTGGGATGGTATCGCAGATTCGCGAATCATCTGGACTAATCCATACTTTTCGCTTCCAGTCTTTGTGGTATGCAACTTTCCACCCTTCTGGAAGGCCCTTTTGTAACGCTCGTTCGAGAACGGCCTTCTCTTCCACTGGATCAAACTTTTTGAGTCGAGCCTTTTTGAACCGAGTACCACCATTGTCGACTGAAGCCTTGCGTTTTGGGGGGCGGCGGTTATTATTATTTTGATTGCTGTGATTTTCGCCACTCTCAATTTCGTCCAATGTCTGATCGACTTCCTTTTGCAGAAGTAATTTTTGAGATGGTTTCTTTCGCCGTTTCCGAGGTAATGGCGACCCTTGATCTACGAAGCCTTGTGTCGTCGTTGGTTCCTCGCCATTCGAATCGGACTGTTCTTCATTATTCCTATCAGCTGATGGCTTGTTATTGCTACTACCACCCTGCGAACTAGTAATATCTGATATTTTTGTATCTTTAGTTCGTGACATTGGTTTAGATTCACCGTTGCTTACCCCAGTATTACCATTATAAATATGACCGTTGGTATTTCCATTCTCATTTGTTTTAGCATTGTAATTGGCATTTCTCCCAGCGCCATCTGAGTCACCTTGATCGGAAACATCAGTTTTACTGGGAGTGGAATCATCTAGTAAGGCATCTTCGGCATTTCGTTTCCTTGTCCTCTTGGCATCTTGGTGAGGACTGCTTTTATCTTTTGCCATTATGAATAACGCAGCAATAGTCTTTTGATAGCAAGAAATACTTCAAACTATAGGCTTTTGCTTCGAGAAAAATGCAGCATTTATGTGTTTGTGCTGTGTGTGTTGTTGGCGGTCGTTCCTGTAGCGGGCAGCGTAGATAAAGTAAGAGGGCTACGTACGTCCAAACACAGTACAAACGTTCGTGTGAAGCATTTCAACTGGTCGGAGGAGTCGATTTGAACACGAAAGAAGTGGAATGAATGGAATGATGAAATAACAGTACCAGTTAATAATAATGTACTGTAGTATATGTAAGATTCGGAACGTATCGTCGCCCTTTGATATCCAATTCAAAGAAAACCCATTACTAGTAGCCTCAAAATATTCGGCATTCTAGTTTCCCAGCTGGCGCAATATCAGCCTCCGCTTCTCCTCTAGCCACATGATGAATACGATACGATGATATGTACAACTCGGCGCGCTTCAGAAAAAGTGAACACGAAGTGTCGCGATTCTACACTTGCATAGCCTGCACTTAGATCTTATATTTTCGATACTACTTGCCAGTAACAAAGAGAGATGCTCATAACCAGCACACTTAAAGTATGGCCAATTTCCTGGTATGTCCTCTTTTTAGCTAGGCGACTTCAATTGCAAGATTCTGCAATATACTATCGACGCACCCAAGAGATCCATCGAAGCCTCGATCAATCATGGCAATAATCCATTACATGATTTGGCAATAGCTGCCTTCATCACTGAATCCGGGAGCCTTGTTGGTACCAATGGCCAAGAGCTCAACTTCAAAGGTCAGGTCAGCATTGGGAGGGATAGCACCTGGAGCCCCACGAGCACCGTATCCAAAATCACTGGAAATTTGGAGGTTAGCTTTCTCTCCCAAGGACATTTGAATGACTCCTTCATCCCAGCCTATTGATATATGTAATATATGACAACAATATCAATGAGGCGATCAGGCACAATTCGATTAGATTGTAAAAGAGGAAGGAGCGTGAGAATTCTAAGACATATCGCATCTCATCGAAAGATAAGTATATTGACCATTTCAGCTTCTCGATACATACCTTGAATCACTTGCCCAATCCCGATGACGAATTGAAAAGGTCTTCCACGTGACACGCTGCTGTCAAATTGCTTTCCTCCATTCGTCAGAGTTCCTGTGTAGTGCATCGTCAATTGATCTCCTTGCTTTGGGAAGGTCTTGCCGTCTCCTTCCATAATAGTTTCCTTTGTTACGCCCATTTTATTTGGGTGTCGAATCTACGATGGTGCGTTATTGTGAACGATATTTTCACGTGATGGGATCGATCATACGAATAACTGATGTACCGGTATACCGGTACGAGAACCGGTACCATACTGTAGGTACCGGTATTATATTGATGCATCTTATAACTTTTTGCGTTGCGCGTGGTCCGTGATTGATTGATTCATTCGATGTAGTCCACTCTTGAGTCAACCTAAATTTTGATTTTGGTTTCAATTGGAGACTTCTTTAGCCCTTATTGTCCAAGAAATGCAATATATACCGGTTTACGGATACCGCACTTTACCGGTATCTATGCAGTATTATAGTTATTGCGAATATTCACGACTGCATGCGTGCATTGATTGTTCAGGTCGCCCCATATTCAATATATGAACAACAACAACATCGGCCAAGATGACAGCATCTTCTGCCGCTTCTACTCCTAAGTACAACCAGACTCCTGAGAAGGCGCTAGAAGAAAAAATACTGAAACAAGTTCTCGCAAAGATCCAAGAATTTAAAGATGACACTGATTCCAAGATTCGTATGTCTATCACCTCGAGAGGTTCCAATGCGTTAGTCCCATGGACATGCCTTCAGACGAATAATCACGCTGCAAACAATGCCAGTATTCCAGCAGCTGACGATCCGTCCAACTTTAAGCTCCCCAAAGATGTAAACTCAATTCTGGCCACTTCGTCTTGGTGCTCAGTTCCCTTCTGGATTTCAATGTTTGTAATTTTTGGATTCCAATACCTTTTGCTTCTTCTTCTGTTGGCTAATCAGGTCGATATCAATTCGGATGACAATCCATTGAATCTCCCGGCAAATGTTGAGACACCGGTCCGTATCAGCCAAGTGCTGTTGCTTGCCATTGCCTTGTTTAGTCAAGATGATCTCTTGGTTGGAATCGAGTCATTTTTTGATGGAATGCCCGATTACTTTCGTGGTAACATTCGTTCGGTGAACATGACACTTGTTCAATGGCGGCTGTCATCAATTATACGATTGTTTCAAGGACTTTTGAACCTTCTTGCTGCTTTTGTGTTATCGATTCAGGCCGAGACAATCCCAGATGTTTTGCTCAACGTACTCGGAGTCGGTGAGTCGCAACGATCAGATAAATTGGGCATGTAGTTAGTCGATTGTCTCTTTTGATCTCACAAAACGGTTCTATCAACATAGGATTCATTTCAAATCTTGACGAGCTAGCGTTCAGTCTTGCAATGAAAGGGTACTTTGGACAATCGATGAAGATGTCGACTGAAGATGTTTCTGTTGTCGAGTTTTATCGCGATGCAACCAGAACTCAGAATACCAAATCATCGCTGCTTGCCAAACTCAAAGACAACGTACACATTATTATGGTCTTTGCTGTGTTACTCGCGATGCTTGTGGCCTTTAGCATTTTTTCGTCGCAGCAAAATGCGGGAATGTATTCAGAGCAAGACATTCAGATTGAATTTGGAGATGAAATTCTGCCCTTCCTTGGACTTTTCAACGGTTGCTACAAGGCTTCCAAATCAAATAAACATGCCTCTGGGCGATTGATGTACGAGCAAGTCAGTTTCTCAAAAGGCGGGAAGTTTGGGTTCTGCTCCGACTTTGGAGAAGGCAATGGTGGATGGGCCTTTTTCATTGGCGAGTCGGGAGATGTATGCGATAATCACATTGTGCGCTCTGGCGACACATCGACCTTTAGTCTGCTGGAAGCCGCAACGACCAAGTGGTATACTTCAGATGATCTTCCATTGGATTACTTAGAGATTACTGAAATCAAGACAGCATCTGCTGAATGTGGACAGTCAATGCTTCGCACTACGACTGACGCTTGCCCATCCATCTTGGCTTTCGATTCGCTCACCATGTCGAAAATGGCGCTGAATAAAGATGATCTGGAGTCTCGACCTGTATTGGATGCATCAGTCTCTCACCCGATATATTACTACAACGTAAGCGAAGTCGGAATCTTTGATTTTCTGTTCTTTACTGGCCGAAGATGGATACGAACTCAATCCGATCACATCGCTACCCTCGGAAACGAAACAAGTCTGCCCGATATTCGAGATTTCTTTGTTGTCAATGATGGGCTCTTCACTTTAATCAACGAACTGAGAACATCCTCCGACGATCGATCCGAGTGGGTGACTGCAGTGAGTGAAATTGTGGACTCCAAGAGAGATCAAGGATCACCTCTTGGGCTTCAGTGGTACGTTCCTCGCTACGACACTACCGATGATGCGAACGAAGAAGGCGACAGCCGGGGTTATCTCCAAAGGAACTTTCCGTCAGCTGATCTTGCCAGACCAATTGATTCAGTCATGACATGTCTTCATTGCAACGAAGAATCCAATCCTTGCCGATACGAGGGGTTCTGTGATAATGGCAGTGGCATTTGCGCTTGCCAACACGGTGCAGAGGGCAAGCTATGTCAAATACGGCCACTTGGAAATGGAGTTTGCAATGTGTACTTTAATAGTGCGGAACATCAATACGATGGGGGCGATTGTTGTGCTGGGACTTGCTTTGGAGCACAATGTGGAGAGGACGATCTACCTAATCCGTTCTTGGATGCTAGTGTATTGACCATCCGCCAAGGATTCTCAGGGGTTGAAACGGTTTACACGTTCCAAAATGTGACAGAGGACTGGAAAAACACCTATCGTGGAACGGAATTTGGATTCGGTGTGGATATCAACGACGATGAGCTGAGTTTTGACTTCGCCCCACTACGGTACAAGCACTGTATCGATCCGAACACAGCATTACTCTCGATCAAAATCGAACCATACCAGGATCGGTGGGATGGCCATAGGCATTCGCAGTTCCAAGGTATATTAGTGCGATGCGGTGGCAAGATGTACTTGCGAATGCCAGAATTTTCGTTGAACGCGATCGATGATTCTGGTACTTTCATCGAAAGAGTCCGCATTCCGTACGGCGCAGATTGCGAGATCGAGTTCCCCAATGAACGTACTCCTTATTTCACTGCAGTGTCTATTCTTATGGAGAACGAGTCAGTGCCATTTATACAGCAACAACACATTCTTGGCTCGTACCCAGAGCCAATCAACGTCCGGATTCCAGAATCAAGTTGTGTATGGAATGGGTTTGTCGCCAATCGTTTCTCTGTATCGTCATTCACGGAAGCGACGTATTATAACATGCCAGACACATCTCTTGGCTGGAATGAGTACATGTCGGGAGACGACTATGATAGTTTCGCAGAAGGTGGACAGTTAGATGCTATTTGCGAAAGAGATCAGGATGAAGTGTTCGATCGATATGTATTATGGAAAATTTCAAATTCGACTTTTATGGACCTATCACAAAACTTTATTAGCCACGTATGTGATGGTCTATGGAAAGAGGATGTGATGTCTGTCGCTTGCAGGGGTCGTCGAGTCAGCGAACTTGCCGTTGATATTGATGTCATTATACAGTCAGAGGTTGAAGGTGTAATCAAGTTATTGATGTATGTGAACGAGTTAGGTACGCTCACAAGGAAGATATACTATGGCTTATCATTTTGACAACTCAGATCTCAGTATTGCGTTTCTGTTTTCTCAGAGCATGTCGGTTTAATCGCTATTCGAAATGAGACACATAAATCTACGGCTCTTGATATGCTATCAACGCTTCCTCTTTTGACAAGTCTTGATATGTCTGATGGCGTCTTGTCGTCCATTCCATCGCAGATTACAAAGTTGAAATCACTGACAAAGTTGAACTTGAATGAGAATAGGTTGACCTCTCTATCGGCGATTGGTAGTTTGACATCCCTGGAAGATCTGAACTTGAATGGCAATGGTTTGATGTCTCTACCTTCCGAAATTGGTAGTTTGACTTCCCTAACAAATCTGGACTTGCATTACAATGACTTTCCTACTCTCCCTTCAGAAATTGGAAGTTTGACTTTAATAACAAACTTGAACGTGGGAGAGACCTTATTGATGTCTCTACCAACTGAGATTGGACGTTTGACATCACTAACAAGGTTAGAGCTACACGAAAGCCGATTGACATCGCTCCCCTCCGAGATTGGTTTTTTGACATCACTAGGATTGATCGGCCTCGATGAAAACGGCTGCTCCTCTCTACCATCTGAAATTGGCAATTTGGCATCATTGACTGACCTGGATATGGAATGGAACGGACTGGTATCTCTTCCCTCCGAGATTAGAGGTTTGACGTCACTCTCACGCTTGAACTTGCGACACAACGAGTTGACATCACTCCCATCGGAGTTTGGAAGGCTGACACTATTAACAGACCTGAACTTGTATGATAACCGATTGGCATCTCTTCCAACTGAGATCGGTAGTCTGACACTCATATCAAGCTTGAGCTTGGGACTTCACCAGTTGGCTTCACTGCCCTCCGAGATTGGAAGTTTGACATCATTATCATATCTGGACTTGGTTGAGAACCAATTGACATCTATCCCTTCCGAGATTGGAAGCTTGACATTGCTAAGAATGCTGGGCCTGAGCGAAAATCAATTGGCATCTGTTCCTTCTGAGATCGGAAGCTTGGCATTGTTGACCAAGCTTGCCCTTGAATCAAACCAATTGACATCACTCCCTTCAGAGATTGGAAGTTTGGCATTATTGACAAGCTTGCGCCTAGAATCAAACCAATTGACATCGCTTCCTTCGGAGATTGGAAGTTTGAGATTACTAACTTGGCTGAGCTTATATGACAATGAGCTCACGTCTCTGGTTTCTCTCCCTTCCGAGATTGGAAATTTGACATCATTGACAAAGCTTGACTTGCGTCAAAATCCAATAAAATCGTCAATGGATTCTGTGCCAAGCGAGATTCAAAGACTTATTTCCTTTGGTTTGAATGTATGCATTGGAGATGTCCCTTGCTAATGAACAAACAAAATCAGTGGAGTATAATTTATTTCTATTGCTTGAAGATTGCAGTATTCCAGTATGGGAGTTCTGGCGCTTTCTTTTTGTCTTGCAGACTAGAGTAGCGTTGAGCAGAACAGGAATATGAAACATACTGTAAAATGTGATTCGAATCAATCGATCGTTCGTCTCAACGAAATGGCATCATCTAATCTCGCACATATACATACCGGTACATCAGATGTGCGCGCAGCAAATAATTTACTTGTAACAATAAATAACGTACAGTACAGGACTCGCCGCAACCCGTCTGTCCATCCACCGGTTTTTGAGCGTCGGACGCGATTACTACGCACAGGTCTTCCCCCCCGCCAGCAGGGAGCCCCTCAAAAATTAAAACGACTTTTTGAAACCGATCAAAGAAATCGAAACCAGTCACTGCGACAAGAAACTG